ATCCAGATAAACATATGCATCATCTTTAAGAAATGCTTCAACATTTTGCAAAATTGCATCAAGAGTCCAACCAATTAAAGGCCCAAACTATTTCCATTTCCCTTGCAAGCACTGAGTACAACTTCTTTACAGGGGATGAGAGAAATTTTCCTTCATCCTCAAATTCATCCACTTTCCAATGAATAAGTTTTGTCTCACATTCATAACTCTTCCTAAATATTCACATTTTTGCAACCAAGTAGCATTTGATTGGCCTTATCTTCATACACTTAGTCTTACGCACCTTCACAATTGACATGATTTTATTATAGGCTTGGCAGATGAGAAATTCCAAGGTAAATTCCTCCAGGAAAACAATCTGATATGGTTCCTTCTCATGGGGAACAAACTGGTTCTGTGTTTGCCTTTTCTGCTGATCCAGAGGAAATGCGGCGTGGAACTCAAATCACTACATTCAAACTTCATAAACAAATTAGAGGCATCCAAACCTTCAAGGGATGAAAAGTGATTTGACTGAGAGCTTGAAACGGTTGAAACTGCGTAATAACTTCCTTTGTTCCAATACCCTTCATTCCTTTGGCATGATAACTTCCCGTCATACTAAAATAAATTTAAAAAGTGAGCACATAAAACAAATGCAATCTCAGTATATATCTCACCTTCCAAGAGCCTTTTGCAAAGCTGCCTGACATTGCGCTTGCTCCCTTTTCTCAAGCGGCAAACAGTTCAATTTTGCCTCGATATCTTTGGATAATTCCAAAGGAGTGCCTTCGTCAGAAGGGCCACATTTCACCAACTCCATGGGATCCTGATCTCCCATCACAGGGATATTACTTCCAGCACATGAAATTGTTCATCATCCGCCAGCGCCAAGTACATCAGGATGGCATCCAAGTCAGATTTCCAAATTGCAAATTTAACCTTCAGGCATGTCACAAGTCAAAAAAGTTGCACTTCATATACTTTCTTGGTGAACAGGCTTCACGTCTAATACCTGGTCATGAACAGAAGAATGCTCTTCCGCAGGATCAGCAGGAAGAGCAGAACATTCAGAAACAAAATCAAAGTTCAATGGATGAAGCGTCGTTGTTCTTCACTGCGTTCTCCTGCTTCCTGCAAAGCAAAGAAAAGCTATAGTAAACTGACAAGCTGAAAGATCAATCTGGCTATAAACTCACTGTCTCAATAACTTTTTGTAACGTTAAATTGCAGAACTTCCCAGAAGTGGGGGTCATTGAAATATTCTTCCATTGTTTGCCGCAATGAAAGGAGTTCTAAAAAGAAATGCCTCCAATACACGAGACCAGGCAGTTCCTCTTCACACATCAAAAAAAGAGGGTTGGTCAAATTCCCTGAGAAGTCAGATCACCAGCAAAACGTCTCCTCATCACTCCAATGATATTTAAGCAATGGCATCAGATTGGAATCAGAATCAACTCACGGCATGGTTATGGCACTTCCCTAACCTTGCAGATCAGTTCTGCAAGGTTATGGCACTTTGTTAACCTTCCAGTAAGTTACTGCAAGGTTGAGGCTGTGTGGTAACCTTGCAGAATGTTACTGTGAGGTGACAGCACTGCCTAACCTTGCAGAACAGTTCTGCAAGGTTACGGCCCTTCTTCAACCTTGCAGTATGTTACTGCAAGGTTACAGCACTTCCCTCAACTTGCTGTAAGTTACTGCAAGGTATGGGCTGTTATTAAGCTTTTTGTGCCTTTTTTAATATTCTAACCTCGCCTTCTTTAATATTCTAAACTTCCATGTGGCTGTGTGTGCACAGAAGTTTTATAAATTTAGATGTTCTTAGATTTGAAATAAATCTCCATAAATTGAAAAATAAGAATAATTGTTTTGCAGTTTTTGTACAAAAAACATTTTTGTGTTTTTCACTGTATCTCCATCACTTATAAACTGTTTTAGAAGTTCCAAAAAGAAAATTTTGGAATTTGAATGGCACTTGCTAAATTTGAAAAAATTTGAAGTTTTATTTCTGATTAAATTTTCTCCAAATTTTTGAAGTTGGAAAAACAGGAAATGTTCCCCTCCTGCAGTCCTGGCTGGGGACTCTGTAGGAACCATTGATTAAAAAATTAATAAAAAAAGAAATTCAATTGATTGAAGCATGTATGTGATGAGGATAACACAAAGGAACTGTATTTATGTGTTTCCCTTTATGAATTTATTCACAGCAAAGTTTTGGAGGTAAATGAGTACTCATTGTCCTGATACACTGTTTATACCCCTTAAACACACTGTCTCAACTCTCTCACATATTTGCTTCAAGGAGAGAGTGATGCGCTTGGGGAGTGAGGGGCTGCAGGGGCACACTGGCTCATATTTTAGTGGAGAACATATTAGATCCAGCAAGATGGGCATCCACCATTTTCTCATAGACTAACATTATATAATTTTTAATTGGTATTTTATGGAAGAAATATTCTTCAGAATTCCCTGGGAAAAAAAATGTTGCCATTTGAATTTGAATTGTTGAATACATTTTCAACTCAATAAGAATATTTGGTGCATTGAATAGTGTATCTCTGTACTGTACATTGAAATGTTGGCATCTACAAAGATAATATTCCAGTGAAAAAATGTAGAAGTCCCTCTGTGCTGGAGGTAATTTTTTAAAAATTAGCTAAATGGATGATAAATTGGTGAGAGAAATGTCCAAGAACTTTTCTTACATCAATTTTAGGGTTGGAAATATCTGTTTCTTGTATTTTGTCTGAAATTTATTTCCAATTTTATCTCAAAATGCCCCTATGTCAAGTCAGTGTCCTCATGTTGGGCCTTTTTTATCAATTTTTATGGGAAAATAAGTGTCCCTATGTCGAATTGTTTGCAGGTCAAGGTGTCCGCATGTGGGGGTCTCACTGCACAATGCATTTATGCTTTTGTGAGAAAATTGCTTGCACGGATTGAAAACAAACTGAATGCGTGATATGCAGAAGAGATCTTCTTACTTTCAAAGTTCAGGATGCATATTTGTGCTCTTTTTTTTACTCGTATACCCGCTGTACAAAAAATGCGAACATCGTACTGTATGCAGAAGTTTTCCAGGTCGCATTAAATATACAGTATTCATGTTTTCAGAGTTCATATTAAAGCAGTTGATTGGATACACAATAGAATATAAATACGTTTTAGTTTCACCAAAATATTCAACTGGACATTTTTTAAACTGAAGTACTGTATTAAAACCTGGAAAATCAAATCTCTCGTAAAAAAAAAAAAAAGCGAAATATCACGCATAGTCTTGAACTGATTGAATGTTTAAAATCCGCGCCAGAACATCACAATATAAAGGGAAATGAAAGGATGCAAACAAACACAATTGGGCAGGATATTATTTAAGCACACACACACACACAGACACTCGCAGAATTCTTTGTCGGTACAGTATTTGGCAAGACTATCACACGTTGGCCCTTTGCTGCTGTTCGGCATATTATTACGCCACCCTCTACCTCGTGTAGCATGTATATTTTTTATTCTGTTTTCTATTGCTTTTCCTGCAGTTGAGCGGATATTCAAGAAATGCGAATGCATTTCTTGAATATCCGCTCAATTACACGAAAAGCAATTGGATGAAGTACTTTGTCCCGTGCATACTTCAAAAGTGAATCAGAAGGTTTTCCAAGGTCTTATTGAGCGTGTGCAGAAAACTGGACAATGTGGAGCATTTATTTCTGATGAGTCAGAAAGATAAAAATAATTATTTTGCTGACTACATACTGTATATTACAGTGGAATCTCATTTTTTTATAACTGGCCATGAATGGTATAGGGACAAGTTTTTAATCTGAACATTATTCACTGAGAAATGTTGAGTAAAATGAGAAAAAAAATGAGAAAAATCCAAGGGATCTCCAGACTGGGATTGGAATTTTAAAAGGTGTCGACTTTCCTCGCTGAATGTTTTCAGATTTCTGGAATTATTGATCGAATCAAAATAAATTTAAAATTTGCTTTTCATTCTTTCCCCCTGTAACCCGCTGCAAACTTGATCTTCTCCTGATCCTTCCGTGGTACAGTAGAATCGAGTTACAACGACTCATTCATTTGGGACCTTAAAAGGCTTCATTGTAAAATAAAATTCCTTGAAACAAAATTTAAATAAAATTGCGGCTATTCGAGAGGGACAAAAAAACAAATTCGATGTAAGAATTCATTTCGTTATTGAGAGATTCGTTGTATCAAGAATCTACAATGCAATTGAATATATTTTACAGCCCTGATTAATTTTTAAAATTTGACAGTTTCCATGATTAAAATTTAAATTTATTTGGAAGATAAGAGAGAGGAGCTTTGTATCAAAATCTTGTGACAACAAACTCATGGGGTCTTCAGAAAAAGTTTGTTATAATGAATAGTTTCTCTTCATGAGATTTTCAAAAATGTTGACTGATCGGAAGATTTTTTAATTAAACCTTCATAAATTAAGCATATTTCTTTTGTGGCCTTCTCAGGGGTTTTTCAGTGTTCAAAACTCTGTTATCTCAAGGAATAAATTTAAATGATGATAAAAAACATTCACTCTGAATAATAGGTAAATACTAGAACTTTTTGATGACTCTTAATTTTTTCTACACAATTCCAGCACAGATTTGTAAGGGTGGATGTTGAAAAAGAATGAAATGCAATTTTCAAGCATTAATAGGCTTTCTTGAGCATACAAACCCCTTTCAACAATTTGCTTGGTTCTCCCATCCTTCATAATCCAAAAAAAATTTACAAATTGGAAGAGAGGATGTTTAGGGGAATTTTGAAGAATGTTTGTCCCTAATTCCACCTTATTTCCCAAGAACCAGTCAGTTATATTTTGAATGGGAAATGTAAGACAGTGCCTACCTTCCTTGAGGGTTTTTCATTCTGAAGTCACAACATGTTCTGAAAAAAAAATATAGATATATATTGGAATTGTTGTGTTATTTGTTGTAATGAGATTTTTATAACAAGTACCCTATAGGATTTCTGCTGAGACTTTGACAAAAGAAGTTTGTTATGATGAAGATTTTCTTGTAACAAGATTTTCCTGTAAAAGCTTTACTATCCCTCATGTCTTACATCACAACTGAAACCTTCGAAAGTTCTGAGTAAGAATCTTCTAGTGTACTTGTTTTACTATTTTAGAGTGATTCTTTGGCTTGCATATCAAAGGTAATGCGAGTCGTTCGACCCCACATTTGACTGGGTTGAGTCATGGGATTCCATCACAAATGAGACCTTCAATGTTTCCACAAAATCCCAGCCTCGTCAACACTCAGGCTCATAGCTCCTGCTGTTTACTGAGCTTGCCACATTAACTTACATTACTCAGTTAACTCAGCCTGTGAGAAACTCCTCCTACCTCAAATCCTACTCACCATGTGCGACACAAAGGAATTCGCGCCTTCCAAATGCGGCCCATCCGATGACTGCTCTTCCCCGCAACCCTGCGATGTTAGCTTTGCTGAGAACATAAAGCATTACGAAATTAAAATTTCGTCATTGTCTGTCAAATATGACGCAGGAGATGCTCCGCCCAGATTGACGAGTCTGGAGTATGAACAGCAATATGTTTATGTCAGGTAATGTCATGTACTCATGAGTGAAAGCTTATGCAGAACTATGCTGTGAATAGGGCAAAAAGGGCCAAGTATATCTGCTTACCTTATTTACTTGAGTACCATGAGCACATTTTTTCTCAAATTTCAGAAGAAAAAAAGGGATGGGTGTCATAAGTGGGTACAAATTTTTCAAGAAGTTTTAGGAAGTTATGTGTGCATTATACTTGATTATAATGGAGAAATTATGGAGTTTTCTTATACCAAGAAAACTTTTTTTATACTGAAAAAGTTGAAAATTGATCAGATTTTTATTCAATTCATGTCTGAAGTCAAATTTTTTGCTGTTATTTTCAAAATTTTGTGGATTTAAATTCACTAAAAATTGGGGTGCATGTCTTACTCAGGGATAAGGTTTTAGCAAAATTTCCAACTGAAAAACCGCTGTGCACACCTTACTCAAGGGCACATGGTACTAAAGTAACTATGGTTTAATACTGTATTTACTTGAATACCATGCGCCCTCAAGTAAGGTGCGCACAGGGGTTTTTCAGTTGTAAATTTTGCTAAAATCTTATCCCCAACACCCTGAGTGAGTCTTACTCAGGGGATACTTACTTACTTACCACTTACTTAACCCTTGGATGGCAACAGCCTCCTTTCCATCCCAGGGCAAAGTCAGACTTTTTCCTGATGGGTGTGCATTATATTTTTGCACAAGCAATACGTTGGGGACGGTCCACCCCCTCCCGTTTCAGTCTAAAAAAGGCCCCTGTTACTTTACGACCCTTTCACCTGAGTTGGACTTTTTCCATATTGACCTCCAACCTGGTCTCCTGGCTTCCAAGCTTAAATTTAATCTTTGAATGGGGCAACAGCACAAGGTCAGGGGAAAAAAGAGATCCTTGAAGCTTTCATTTTTTCATTTTCAGGTGAAATTTTTCTGTGGAAAATTAAAAAAAAATGCCAGGATTTTTCCCAACTTTGCCCTGCACACACTGTTAAGGGTTTTTTGAAATTCCACTCTGGAGTGCCATGAAAATCTGCAAAAAAAGTCAAACTTAGCCGCAGAAGAGTTAATCAATTTTCAACTTTTTCAGTACAAGAATGTTTTCTTGTTACATTTGTTCCAAATTTCTCCATTATAATCAAGTATAATGCACACATAAACTTCCTAAAACTTCTTGAAAATTTTGTACCCGCTTATGATGCACACCCCTTTTTTCTTCTGAAATTTGAGAAAAAAGGTGCGCGTGGTACTCAAGTAAAATACAGTATACTGTACTATACACTTCAAGCTGTAAATTCTGACTTTCTGTACCCAAAATGGAAATAAGCATCATGAGCATGCGTTTTAGACTAATCAAGTGAGTTTAAAAAAAAAAAGCTGTATACTCTGCATCATAGATTTGTTCATCCAATGCTGGGTCGCATTGAGACAGTTCCATCTCGCCTGGTTAAAGAAGCATGTGGTCAATCAGTTTGCTTCAAAGCCGACATTGCGGTTCACGTGAGGTCAGATTCAAACAGTTTTTGGAGCGCCATTAAACGCCAAGAGATGGCGGTGTACGTTTTCATCAAGAATCAGGTGTTTGACGAAATCGCAGGAGTGACATCTGTGCCCATCATAGAAACGAAAAGAAAAGATGCGGTAAGGGCAGGATTTGTATTAGAGAAGACCTTTCAAAATATTGAAATGTTTTCTGAATTTTGGGTAAACTGATGACGAACATGTTCCAACTTGAAAAAGACCCCCGTCCCCTCACTTCATAAGAAGTTAGCCACTTTTCCTAAATATTAAACTATAATTGAATTACTGTAAATTTAATTCTTGTTGATTCATAAAATAAATCATACAAGAGCAGGAAACGTATAAAAACGAAGCGCTCAGATTTCTGATTGACTCTCTTGAATGACGTCAGGATATTGAGTGAACGTATGTTGAGACTAGAGTCAAGTTAAAATACACCTAATAACAAAAAAAGCACGGAATATTTTTTTTTGTTGTAGATGACGCAATGAATATTTCCGAAAAGAATGACGATATTGTCTGAAATGTGCCTGGTAAATTAATTCAACAGAATACAGCAGGACCCGGAAGCGGTGCGATTCGGAATTTCCATGGACCCCTGGTTCAACCGATGCCAGTACCGACGCCTTTTTGCAAAGGTTTCTTGAAAGTCACTCTCGGGGTCGTCGACCATGGAGAGGTACCGCAAATTTATCTTGGTAGAATTTCTCGGTAAATTGAAAATGTTTGAAGTAACAGGTACCTCATCCGAAGCCACCTTGCGGACCGACTCCTCCGCCGATTCGTTTCGATTCCAGCAGGTATTTCAAGAGTGATTTGATTGATGGGGTTCAAAGAGCTCGTGCCAGGATTGAAAAGCATTACAGGAAACAGGCTACTTACAGACCAGCAGGTAATAGAAAAATTTGTCATTTGCATTATTCATTATTATTGCTCAGTCAAACCTCATTCAAGGTGCTCCCAGGAAGGCGCCAATTTATTTTTAAAAATTAATCTTCCTCACTGATGCAGAAATTGCACAAAAATTTATTTTTCCAAAATTATTGGCTACTAAAATATGCTCCTAACCTATTAAAAGTGGACTTTTTCTAAAAAGATGTTTTCTAACATGATTTTTGGGGTCCCATATAGAGACCATACCATGGTCCCTAAATACAGGGTTTCTCTACTAAACAATTATCTCTGGAACAATTTTTTTCAGGTCCCTAGAATCAAGTTATATAAGTATAGAAAGTCCACCTGTATTGATTATAAATGCCAACATGATTTAAGTTTCTGTGAAGAGTATATTCAATTTTCAAAAATACACAAGATCCCTGAGATCATTTACTTTTTGAAAAAAATCTATGGATACACAGTGCAGTAATTTATGTATCCCATGGTAATTCAGATTTATTTTGCTGAATTATTTATCATTTTTGAAAGATTTCTGACAAATTTGAATGAATGGACAGATGAACAGAACACTTTATTTGCCGCTTTTTAGCGTTCACAAGGTTCACTCAAGATTTCCACAACCAAACCCCCCTTCCCACCCAACCTAAATCCACTCAATGACATTTCATTCACTTCAGAGCAGGAAAGCACAAATTGATAAAAAAAATAAAAGAAAATACCATACAACATGAAATACAACTGGACATCTGTCCTGTAATGCTTTTCAATCCTGGCACGAGCTCTTTGAACCCCATCAATCAAATCACTCTTGAAATACCTGCTGGAATCGAAACGAATCGGCGGAGGAGTCGGTCCGCAAGGTGGCTTCGGATGAGGTTTAGTTGAATGAACAAATCACAGAGAATCTTTGATGAGAAATCATATATGACAATTTTAGAAACTGTATCTTTATAGGCTATTGAATGCTTAGAATGAATTTCAAATGGTCTGAATATAAATTCATGCTTTTTCATTTTGGGAGCATTTAAAATGTATGGCATTTTTTCAGTTTATAAAGGAATTTTCTTCAATTCTCAGGCTGTTAAAATTGTTTTTCATCATCCATGCATGATTTTTTTTTTTTATTATGGGAAAAGGCATCATGAGGTACATTGATTTATGTTTGTGGAAGTTCCATACTGTATTGTAAAAATATTCAAATTATATATTTTTTTCGAAATATTAACGATGCTTATCCAACTTTTTTTTTCAATTGTGCATCACTACTCACGTCACTTAATTAACGTTTAGACGTGATGCAGTTTATGCAAATCAGACAATAATCCCTATTTGCCCACAGCACGAGTATATAAGCATTTGCATTCAAATCAGTCATTTTCCATCATCACAGAATACGGAATGCGAAAGGAAATCATGAAGATCGTTGATGACACCATGTCCGCAATTATCTCATCCGAGATGAAAAAAGTGATTGAGCTGAGTGAAGACCGCACTCTGCTTGGCCTAAGGAGAATAGAAAACGCTTTAGCAGAATGTCTTAGAAACGCTGAGGATATTCGAGAAGTTGTCACTTGTGATGAGACGGCGAGAGGCGCCATCAACAGAATTTTCGAGCATCTTCACACCATGTACAAGGTGAACATTGTTATTTTTAAAAAAGACTGTTGAGTTTATTTAATTTAATTTAATAAATAATTGGACCAATGAATTTTATTTGAGTCATTGCCACGTCCGATAAACTCGCTGACAGCTTTTCATTTTCACTCTGTGGATTAAGCAAAATTACGGGCATTGTGGTACTTGTTGCTTTCAAATTTGAAATTCCAGCATACGGATTTTTCCCCCCAGCAGGATTGGATTTTGACCGAATTTGTTGACGATTTAAATTCTAGTCAGAGAAATATTGTAATTGTTTTTATTTGAACATTTTTGATTGCCATCATATAATGGATTTTGGCCGAATTTGTTGATTACAATTTTAGCCAGAGAAATATTTGTATAGCGATTGTTTTCCTTGTAACATTTTTGATAGCCCTCATGATCTATTGCAGATTTTAAGCTGCATTAATCACTGATCTTATTTTCAAAATTGCTGCCTTATGCTCAGCTGAGTTAATTCAACTTTTATTATTGAAAATGCATAACTCATTGTCCAGCATATGAACTTCGGATGAGCTACGCATGTTTTATAATGGGGGTGTAGCACATGTTGTCATTGGAAGATAAATTTAAACGGCATACAATTGAGTGTTAATTTTCAGGAAAAACATTCTTTTGTACAAAAAAGGAAATTCAGACGTGTTTCGACGTATTTTTTTGGGAACTGTTTGCAAACAAGTAGTAGAGTGTCCGCAGTTTGAACAAAAAAATGAAAAAATGATTGCAGAAGTGGGATTTGAACCCACGCCTGTAGAACCTAACTGTGACCTGAATACAGCGCCTTGGACCACTCGGCCATCCTGACAACTATGTGTACTGGATGTGTTTTTTTTTTCTCATGTAATAAACAACCATGAAATATTAACGATGCTTATCCAACTTTTTTTTTCAATTGTGCATCACTACTCACGTCACTTAATTAACGTTTAGACGTGATGCAGTTTATGCAAATCAGACAATAATCCCTATTTGCCCACAGCACAAGTACAGTATATAAGCATTTGCATTCAAATCAGTCATTTTCCATCATCACAGAATACGGAATGCGAAAGGAAATCATGAAGATCGTTGATGACACCATGTCCGCAATTATCTCATCGGAGATGAAAAAAGTGATTGAGCTGAGTGAAGACCGCACTCTGCTTGGCCTAAGGAGAATAGAAAACGCTTTAGCGGAATGTCTTAGAAACGCTGAGGATATTCGAGAAGTTGTCACTTGCGATGAGACGGCGAGAGGCGCCATCAACAGAATTTTCGAGCATCTTCACACCATGTACAAGGTGAACATTGTTATTTTTAATAAAGACTGTTGAGTTTATTTAATTTAATTGAATAAATAATTAGACCAATGAATTTTATTTGAGTCATTGCCACGTCCGATAAACTCGCTGACAGCTTTTCATTTTCACTCTGTGGATTAAGCAAAATTACGGGCATTGTGGTACTTGTTGCTTTCAAATTTGAAATTCCAGCATACGGATTTTTTTCCCCAGCAGGATTGGATTTTGACCGAATTTGTTGACGATGTAAATTCTAGTCAGAGAAATATTGTAGTTGTTTTTATTTGAACATTTTTGATTGCCATCATATAATGGATTTTGGCCGAATTTGTTGATTACAATTTTAGCCAGAGAAATATTTGTATAGCGATTGTTTTTATTGTAACATTTTTGATAGCCCTCATGATCTATTGCAGATTTTAAGCTGCATTAATCACTGATCTTATTTTCAAAATTGCTGCCTTATGCTCAGCTGAGTTAATTCTACTTTTATTATTGAAAATGCATAACTCATTTTCCAGCATATAAACTTTGGATGAGCCACGCATGTTTTATAATGGGGGTGTAGCACATGTTGTCATTGGAAGATAAATTGAAACGGCATACAATTGAGTGTTAAGTTTCAGGAAAAACATTCTTTTGTACAAAAAAGGAAATTTAGACGTGTTTTGACGTATTTTTTTGGGAACTGTTTGCAAACAAGTAGTTGAGTGTCCGCAGTTTGAACAAAAAAATGAAAAAAATGATTGCAGAAGTGGGATTTGAACCCACGCCTGTAGAACTTAACTGTAACCTGAATACAGCCCCTTAGACCACTCGGCCATCCTGACAACTAAGTGTACTGGATGTGTTTTTTTTTCTCATGTAATAAACAACCAGTAAACAAACAGGACACAGGTTACAGGACGTCCTTATCTTGTAATAAACAAACAGGCCACAGACACAGGTTACAGGTTATTATTCCACCCCAGACCCCTGTAGGATCCTACTGGTCCTTCCTCCCACTGCAGACGTTAAAGTCACCCTGGCAGGCTTTCTGCTGCTCTTCACTCAAAATATGCAGCACTCATTACAAAGTATTTTTGGCTAATACCCCAGCTTTCCCTTGGAAATTCTCAAAATTGACATGGCAATAAGTCCATGAAGGGTTGCCGCCATTAATTGATTATCAATTCCGCCATTTTCATTGATGACATCTGCCTTCACAGCTGCCACTTGGGATGAAATGTGGCGGCTGTGAAGTCAGCTGTTGATGAAAATTGTGGAATTAATGGAAGAAACTCTTGGAATTAAGGCCATGTTGATTTCAAGAATTCTGTTGGAGAATCTGGGCTAAACCAAAAAAATCTACAAGATGGGTGTCTCATTTGTTCAGTGAAGAAAAGCAGAAAGCTGCTGGGGTGACTTGCAAATAAATCTGTGAAACTGGGCTGCATTTTTTTCATCTGTGCCAAATAATAGTTCCTCAGCTCAATGATATGCCATTTCAATTTCTGTCCCAACAATTTCTGTCAGACCCTGTGTATGTACAGTTGATCCTTGCAATAAGGCAAACCTCCCCAGGTGAAATGCCTCCCATAGTCAATTTTTTTTTGTCCCTGTCTGAATTCCCTTAGAAATAATGCATTAAAAACCTCCCTAACTCAAAGGTTTTTCCTATGAAACCTCCATAAATCCAATTTTTGAGGCCTTTATTAGGCTATTCTTTTATAGGAGCAGGAAATAAAAGAAACGGTAAAAAATTGGAATTTTATGTGCTTCGGCAGAATGTGAGACTAAATTGGGCAAATGAACCGCCCTTTCTCCAAGTTGAGTGCCCTGTCAACACATTTTAGAAGCAACTTGAGGCCCATTATATCACATAAAATTTAGAGCAATTCTTCAATGTTTTCCACAATAAAAATACTTGATTCTATAAGTAAAGCAATTTATAAATTCCATAAAACTCAAAACCTCCATAAGTCAAATTTTTTGCTGGTCCTTTGAAATTCAACTTGAAGAGGTTCAACTTTATATATGCAGGAAACCATGGACTCGAACATTCGACCCTCGGACGGTCACTTGACATACGACACCTTATCCGGCCTGAAAATGATGCAAAAATTGAAAGGAGTGGCTGCACTGCAGCAAGACCTCTTGGAACAAGCTGCTCGTCTTCGGGGTTACGTAGAAAACGAAAAGCCCCACGAACTCGAATGCTTCGAGGCTGGATTGGCAGAACTTGCTGCTGTGCACATTCCCGGGGACCTCAGGGAAATATTCAACGGGGATTATCACCGGAAATCCTGCGAAACCGCCTTGCGAGAAGACGAACCTGTGAAGGAAGACGCGTATAATTTCTGCGAACCTGGACCCAAGTCAATGCATGTTTGCCCTTGAAACGGATCAGCACACTGATGATGCATATGATCCTACGTACTTTTGGCATTTCAAAAATTTGCTGCCATTTCCTGTTTTGTTTTTGCAAGCATTTATTGGTTCTTGTGATGCCGCTGATCCTGAAACGGAGCAATCGTTTGTCTTTGCATTATAATGGGTCCGATTCCGCGAAAAGCTGATTTCTTTTTTGGCCATTTTCTCATATTTTCATTTTCCTGGTCAGTAGCCAAACAAAGAGCTGCTTTCTATGCGTCGCTGTGTTCATGATTCTTGGATTATGAAGAGTCGTTTCCTTGATTACAGAAGCTAAAATGTCAGGGAGTCATTTACATGCATTTTATTTTTTCTCTTTCAGGGTGGTGGGTTGTGTAGCACTGGATTGTCTGGCTACAATTTGACTGATCACTTCATCAATAAAATGACTTTCAATTGTTTATTTTTGCTCAAACCTGGTCAGGTGAAGGCATATTCAGTTTTAGATGACACCCCTGGAAGGCACAAGTGTCACAAGATTTATTGTGCATACTTATGCAAGACATAAATAAATTACATTTAATATTAAACTCCTGAAGCGAACCTTTCTTCAAGAATAAGAATTGCATTCTACGGCATATTGATAATCAAAATGAGCGTTCATAAAGAACTTCTCCTATCATAGTGTTGGTTTCTTTTCTAACCCACATTCGCACCCTCACGAACCAATTTGGATACGTATTCTGCGTTCTTACACAAATTCATACAAAATGAAGACGAGTCGAAGTCCAAAAAAACTTCTTTTCTCTGAACAGAATTGAGACACCCAACAGTCACATCACTTGCCCATAAAACAACTTCTCTCCCCTCTTGGCGTCACGAAGTTTGTCTTCTCGGATGCTTAAACACATATGATACACTCATCTCTAATAGGAGGGCATTCGATGATAAAATCCTTGCACTGAACCTTAATTCCCCATCCAGAAACATGGGGTCGTCTTTCTCAAAGCAGGTTCAAATCTTTAATACGAATTAAAAAAAAAAAAAACGCTTTCAAGAGATCCATTTTGGCTTTCCGCGATCATTCCACAAAACGTCATCAGAGAACCTGCTCAGAAGCTAGGAAATAAAAAGGGACAAGCTTCTGTTTTTGCTCATCAGCCTATGGAAAGTTTGCTGGGTATTTGTACTAAACAAATTCTTCCTTCCAACAGTTCTTATCATCCAAGACAAAAACAGAGATTCCAGAATTTCATCAATACCGGGGCCAAGTTCGAATAAATTATGAGCGGGAGTAAAATCCAGAACAGAACAAAACCAAAATACTTCAACACTGCACAAAGGTATTCACTCGTGTCGAGTCAATCACCAATTTTCAGCTCAGTTTTTGCACAGATGGACATCATCGTTTCTCTTCCAAGCAATTAATTGCCGCTGATTTCATTGTCTATCTAAGTACTTTTCAACTAACAACAGTACTTGTTCCTACCACTTGGCAAACCAGCTTCCGAAAATTCAACTCCACACCAGGATTTTCACCCTTGTGACCAAAAAGATCTTTTGCCCAGAGGTCAAGATGAAAATCGCGCCTCCATGAACATCAGCGACACTTTTTCTTTGCAATTAAATGCTTGGACGAGCCAAACCAAAAACAAACAAACAAAAAACACGTAAAGCCTTACTCTTTAGCATCCAAAAATCAACATCAAGAGATGAGTTTTGATCAGCTCGACAAAAATGTGGACAAGCCAAGGATCGCAACAGAAGAGAAACGCGCATCATCATCATCGCACACACACATTTAAACAAAAACATTTCATTCATTATCAGGAGAGTTTTCTCTCCATGTCGAAGAGCAAAAAAGCTGATTGCAAAACGAGGAAAAAACCCTCGTTTCAGGCGAATGAAAATTTTGTCGCCAGCGCTATTCGCCAAAAAATGGAATGCACTCAAAGACGCTGGCGATGAAAACGCGGGAGACAGATGAACGAAGCTCGTATAAAAATAGAAGCTCACGCGTTCCAAATAAAAGCACAAAAAAACGAGCAACAGGGGGAAAAAACGGAACACTCAAACCTCTTCACAAAAAAAAAAAACCAGGGCGCTTGCAAACAGAACGCTTTGGTATTCAAGTCAACGCTAAAAAAAAATCGAGAGTCCAAGTGCATCTCAATCCGAAATCATCGGAGTGTGATGACGGAAACTGATATGAAAAGAAACGAAATCAACACTTCCGTCAATAACTCCAAGTGTTCCATTATTGCATGTAGTAATCAGGCGGCTCGGATTCCTTCTCGAACCGTTTTGCTTCTTCCTGCATAGTTTCCTTGATTTTTAAAATGGCCGCTGATTCGTTCTGATCCTGTTAAAAATAGAAAAAGGTACAGATAGTGCATACATTACCATTTTATTTAAAGATTGAGATAAGGACTATGAAAACGATCAACACAAGTTAATCACAACGGCGCTTTTGTAAACAGACTATCAGCTTGCTTCGCAAGTTAGAATTATGAAGCATTTTCTTCGGACTCCTGAAGACATATGCTTCCGAAGAAATTCAACTCAAACAATTGGAAACAATTTTGAACATTTCCAAATCATTCATTACATTCGAACAATTTTCAGGCTGGCGGAAATTAAGCTTCTGGAGAGTCTAGACTTCCTGAAACATCGACAAAATCAGCCTCCCAAGAAATCCACACTGTTGTTTTAATTGATATTAAAAGGCTGTGTAATTCACACCTTGAACTTGAATCAAAGGGACACTTTGAACGCTTCCTGTCATAAAAAGCAGGGTCTTCGAACAGAAACAAAAACCTCGTAGCGCAACTTAATTAAAAATGATAATTACTACGTTAACGGTAACCAGCATAACAATATTCATTATTACTGTACTACACAACGAATTTCGGGATAACCATTCGAAAGTCATCGATGAGTTCTCACCCCAGGCATGTTTGAGTTTGGGACTGGTTTCATCATTTGATACATCCCGTCGCCGCCTGAGTTCGATGAATCTGTTCAAGACCAGAGGAAAGAATAGATCTTTAAGCAGTGGCGAGAATCCTTCACATGATACACGCAATTCAGCGAACATTTTCATTAAGCCCGAGAGGCCTGGTAAAGTCGATGCCGCTTTTGCACAGTATCCATCGCGTTTCCGTATAACCATCGGCGGAACCAAGGTCATTTCATGAAATCACCTACAATCATGAGTATTAATGATGCATGAATTCCAAATTTAATAGCATCTGTCACAATCGGTCAAGTTTTCTTTTCACACATAGTGAAGTATTTCATCAAAGGAAATAACTTGAGAAAAGATGCTGGCACATGTTGATTATCTAATTTCCATTTTTAAAATTTTCCAATTTAATATATTCATTACACAACAATTGAAAATGTAAAGCAGTTGATAACAATTCAAGGAAGAGATTCAGATCAGAATTTTCAGAAGTACATGTTTTCTCTAGTGAATTTTCTTTTTTTTCTCGCTCGTAGTACAATACAATACTGTATTTGATGTTTTTAATTTACACAAATACGCAATATACTGAATTAAGATCGACAGACTTTTTGTATTCGATACAGTTGTTACGCCGTAATACATTACTCAAGTCTACGGTACTATTCACGCGAAATCCTCAAGGCTAAGATAAGACGCATAGTATTTTAAATGCAAGGTCCAGCCAAAATCTGGAGGTGGGTGTGCATTCAAACGGGGCACAGATAACGTGCTAAAGCGGCATCAAAAACGCTCTCTTACGGGGAAGTTCATTTACTCCACAAAAACAAAAAACATTTCAAAAAATTGTTTCAAGAAGTTAGAAAAACCTACATCGCCATCGCTCACCTTGAGGACTTTGCATTATGGGAGTGCCGGGCGGACCGCCTGATCCTGGAGGACCCTGAAAAATAGCGAAAGAATGAAATTAAACCCACGATTATGATTCTGACGACGAACAAATCTAATGGATGCTCAACCAAATGGCTGCAAGAAATGGAGAGAAGAACGTTTTCTTGCTCTTAAGAACATTGAACAAACCCCTATTCGGAACCTGACACAGATTCAATATTTTATCTGCTTAAATGAGACTATATTTTCGAAGGGAGATTGATTAGCTTCACATCAACACTAACTGCGAATAGGCCTTCCCGAAGAATTCCGGTACGATACTTAAGATTAAAGGCAAACTCTCAACGAATCTCGGTGGAAGAGGAATACTGCACAATTGAATGCCGATTACTCGCAATTAGATCCTTCATTCCCAAGATCACGTTTATTGAGGGCAAAGCAATTCTATTACCATCATATCTCGCAATTTCTTCGTTTCTCCCGTACCAACTTGCTTGCTTGCTGAGCTAATCGATTAACACACACTACAAAAATTAAAATGTACGTTACATTACACGAGATCTTTGAAGATCTTCAGCACGTACAGTCGAAGATTTAAGTTATCTAATTATTATAGTACACTAATGAAATATATCGAAAAGCACCCAGTCACTAATTTAGATATACACGCCAAGGGACGAACTGATGGTAGAAAGACTGCGTTCGCATCTAGAAAAACTCAGCCAGAAACATCGAAAAATGCATCACAAATGTTTCTTATCGTTGGGGCATATAGTTGTTGAAAATACAGTACAAATAACACATGTAATTAATTTGTGTAACACCATGAAGCTTTCACAATGCAACCACGATCCGTCAACACATTGAAGGCACAGTACTGTACTAGTAAAACTTCAATCTAGTAAGCGAACTTACGCGGGTGCACAACGACATTCACTTTTTGGAATTCAGCGGTGTCTCGGTACTCATTCAAAAATTACCAAGTAGATTTGCCCACAAATACACCTCACTTCTCTCTCGAACTTGTCATCTCAACATCATTTTCTAAAAATGAAGGTGCAAGTCATGTTCGCGTAAATACAGTATAGTAAGCATGTACTTGAGTACCACGCGCCCTCGAGTGGGACGCGCACCTTGAACGCTAAAAATTTTAGGAAAAATCTTATTCCCGCAAAAGGAGCACGCCTTAGTTTTCACTTTCCACAATTCCTATTTGAAAAACTATGAGGGGTGAAAATATAAATTGAAGTCGATCGAAAATTGAATTCTATGGCTATTTTTCTGGTAAATACACTAAAAAATAACAATAGTATCACTAAAAAAGAGAACTCTGAAAAACTTGTTGAAACGGGTAGAAAAGTATGAATTCTAAATTTGTCCTCTGAAATTTTGTACGCGACTATGACGCGCACCTCTTCTTTACTGTCCCACCTGATTAAAAAAAGGTACGTCTGGTACTCGAGTGAATACGGGCATAAACATGTACAATAATTTATATTGCATCAACGTGACAAAAAGTTTCAAATACAGTAGATTTCTCATTTAGTGAACCCTAACGCTCAATTCTATTGAAAAAATAACGGAGTTACCGCCAGAAATCCTGCACGAAGTTTAAATTTAACTAACTCAACCAACTCTAACCGGGGGAGTCGGTACCCATTGAGGCCGAGGGCCAGGTGGGGGTCCAGCCATGGACATCGGTGGCATGCCAGGTCCGGGACCAGGACCTGGACCAGGTCCTGGTCCGGTGTTTGGTCCACCTATTGTTGCGTTGGGGGGTGGACCTGGTCGAGGACCCATTCCAGGTCCTCCGTAAGGCCCTGGAGGTCCTCCAGGACCCATCGGTGGCCCTCCCGGTCCCATTCCTGGACGAGGCGCGTTCATTCGCGGCGTCATTGGACCCATCCCTGGGGGACCTTGACGACCAAAGATGACAAAATATGTTCATACATAGGAAATACATGAAAACGAAATATTCGGGCAAAACAATATCGCAACTTCAACATCGACTTTCCATCTTGGGGGTTCAATAACGGGCGTGAAGGAACAGAATAAAAAAAAAAAAAAAAAAAAAGGAATATCGAAAACGCCCGAACTTTTCCCAACAGTAAGAATGATGAAGTTTCCCGCATTTCTCAACAGATTTGCCACAAAATTCGACACGGTTATACAGCGCCGGAAAAAAACGAGGAATCGTTCGAGAGGAACCCTCCAGCCGAAAACCATGCAGATTTGGAGTTATTCGAACAGTTGTGGTACTGTAGATGACATTTAAATATGAAATCCCGACTCTGAATGATCATGCTTCAGCCGGATTATGAAGACACCTCAGAAAAACAGTGATTGACAGTCATGGAGCCTCACGTTAGCATTTAAGTCCCATTTCACACTGATTTCTACGAGTGGCACGAAAAAAAGAGAATGAAGAAGAGCTCTGAGCAGTGGAATCATAAGCTGAAAACCCGCGTCGAACTTGATGACAATACTCAAAACTTTTTCCATTAAAATGTTTCTCCACACAAGTCCCTCTCACTACTTTATTTGAACTTCCAGTTCCTTGAACGTTTTCATTTATTCTTCCATAAGATTAGATTCAACTTCACGGAGAGCCCGAAAACTTCGAAGACAGAATTTCGAACAAAGCGAAAAAAAAAGCAAGAAGATTCAATCCGAGGATAAACTAAAAAACTCCCACCACCACTACAACCATCAAATCACCAAACATAAAAATAACATGCTCAAGAGAGATATTCATCAGGATGAACACAAGTAGAATTTTGATTTACCTGTCCAACCTACACCATAATCCCCGTCTCCTCGGATAATTTTTGGAAGCATTCGAGTCGCAGGGTTTCCGCAAAAGGTATAGACAATAGCGCGATAGAATTCGGGTTGAAAAATCGGCACGGGAAAGAACACGGGGAAGAAACACCAGAGTTAATGCACGGTAATAATATTTTCACTAAATTCACTATTTCACAAAAAATGTTCCGAATTCGTGCAAAAATTATCCCGAAATCACTAGAATACACACCTGGTCGATTGGGATCCATGTTATTTTGCATCATCTGCGGACCAGGTCCAGGAGGCTGGAAGATTTTCGAAACTCACATAGAACTATCAGTTGGAATACAATGCTTAAATTGCTGAACACGTACCCCATTGAATTCTCCCATCTGCGGCATACGGATTCCAGGACGTGGACCGGTGGGATATCGTGGGGACATAAAAGGTGCCTGAACACAACCGAGAACAGAATTTCAGAACAAGACCCTGTACCATATATTTTAGAAACTCACAGGGAAGAAGCCACTTGGCGGCATCGGACCGCCGGGTGGCATTCCATCACCAGGAGGCATTTGTCCCAGAGGACTAGGCGCAGGACCGGTATTCTATGGCAAAGACAACTTATGGCTCACACATCAGCTCAAAAGAGTAAAAGAACAGATTTACTCACATGAGCGATCCCATTGACTCCATAACCGGAGTTCACGAAGCCCTGAAAAAGGCGAATAGAACCAAATTCACGAAATGGGAATTTTCAACAAATTGAGAAGGACGCTGAATCGCACGAAATACAAGGTCAAACAAACTGCCAGCGCCGAAGAGCTTAGTCATTCGGCAACCGAAGGCAAAACATAACGAATTCTTTCGAATAAATGTCTCCACTCACGTAATCATGAAACGCTTTGGCTTCACTGGAATGCTCGCACGTGTCTCTCCGTTCAGGGGCAGCGCAATAGAGATCCCAGAACACACACCACCAGGTTTGTAAAAATCCCGGAGGTTCACCGAGCGAGATATTCTTATCCCATCGTATCTCGGCGAGAAATGTCTGTGCGGCTTTTTGAGCCCCAGCATGAAGTAGATACTCATAGACGTACAAGGCCAACCTTCAAAAATCAGGCAAATATTAAATACGACCTAAGGGGAAACAATGTCACAACATACTTTTCTCGAGCTTGAGCGTCAGACGGCACCGATGAACCTTTCCCTTTAGCGTACATCATGTAGCCGTTCACTGAGCGTCCGTAGAAAAGTTACACTGCGTATCTCCGCGGGTGAACGCTCTCATTCGCCACTAATGGAAGCGTCCGTGGCGACATTCAACTCAACGGATAAAAAAGCAGGTCCGCACGATACACCCAAGTTACACAGCGTGAATGCGATCGCAACGTATTTATCATTTAAAGTGAGTGTCATTTGATCACCATGGTGTGAAAATGAACAAGAATTCCACTCAGATGAATCTGGAATAGGGAAAGATATGCCCGTTAACTAAACACGCTCACACGGCGGAATCAAGGCTGAACGCCAGAACTACATCGACGCATCAACGTATCAAATCTGTGCAAGCAATTCACTTCTGGAATTATGAACCTAGGAAGACTTTCCCCGAGGTTCAACATGTGCCAAGTTGGCTAGGTGGGAACTCATCGGGGTCTAAAAATTATGTTTCGATGAATCAAGCCACCTTCTGTGGATTTTGGCACCAGAACTCGCAGAATTCTACAGACGCGATGGAAAATCCAAGTCGTTGAAACTATAAAAAAAAATATTAAACACGCAAAATGAAACCAAACGAACGGTAGATAACATAAGAAATACGTAATTCATTCGCGTTTCGTCCATCGTAGCTCCGCCGTTCATCACGCTGTCGATGCTATTACATGCGCGAAGGGTGCATCCATTACGGTCCGAGAATTCCAGAATCGAATACGCGGCGGCTAGGGTCTGGACTTTTCCAACGCGCGGTTTTTACCCGCGCGCCCGGGGTTCCGGAACGCACTTGAATTTCATACAGCCGAATTATTTCTTATGATGAATGAAACGAAGATTGTGTTTCTAACGCCCAGCTTTATTATTTCCCAGATTTCCCGTCGCACACGTACTGATGAAACTACCAAAACGTATATGTCAGAAGGAATACCCGGAAATTCATTTTCCCATTCTCTCCTCCCCCCACGTCTCCGTTCCACATTTCTCGTCGCCTTCACCGCGGAACAATCACAAGAATGGATCCTCGCTGATCTCAACGGTAGCCTGACACCATCTCCGTAAGACCATTCATGTAGAGTGGAATGTTAAAAGCAGAAATGTCAACGGTGGGATCCACTGTTTAAAAAAAAAAAAAAACACTCGTGGGCCTTGTTTTCAGCGAATCGCCAGGAGCTTCCCGAGACTGAATCGATCACAACAGGTCTACTATCCAAGCGACATTGGTCGCGCCAACAGGTAAAAACACCACGTATTGGTAGCTCACGAAACCGAACAATCACCGTCACCAAAAAATGTAACAAATACATAGCACAAGCCGAACAATTTGTTCGCACGGAAACCCAAAACGAACAGAAGCAACAACGGCAACAATTTTTCCTTCGGGTAAAAATGAAATGGAAACCCGGCCAAAGACTCGGGAACACCGATAGTTTCTTTTTGTCTCGCTCTCGTCATACTCGATTCCTTCGCGACTAGCATTCCGCCACGGATTTCATTATACGTACTTCTCCGTTTGCAACAAAGCACTGATTGCACGAACACGTGTAAACCTCTCTTCTGTTTCAAATTTTTTCCAACCTGGCACGCTCCCTCCCTCGCACTCGCAAGGAATGTTTCTTCTTTTTTTGTCAAGAATGTGTAAACTCACGAAACAGAACCAACTTTTTGTACGCTGCAACATTTGAGCGGGGTTTTCCCCTTAAACGCCAGCAACGGAGAACGCGGAGATTCAACATAAGTTAACAAAAGGACCCCCTTTTAAAATCATCCTTCGAATAACAATTTTTTCAAAGTAAATCTTGATCCACGGAAACGTTTCTCATTTGGCGCATGCGGGCGATCTCCGATCAGGCGTTCAATCAGAAAAACCACGCGAGTGAAAACGTTGGAAAAAGAGCGAGGGTGATAAGGATGTCGCACAAATTCTAAAGGAAGCAAAAAACGACTTCCTTCATTAATCATCTTTCACACCGGAATATTTCCTTCCCATTGATCACGAAGTTTGAAAAGCGGAAGTTGGATGAGTCGACGCAGTATTTCACCTGTAAGGCCTCGGGAGAAAATTCGCAAACAAGATTTTTCAATCAAGGATCTTTTGGTACAGTGCTTCTCCGCTTCAAAAAGTTTTTCAATTAGTTTGAAACTAAAGCCAGGTGTCGCCTTCGTCTCAAATCTAAATGAAGATAACCGATTGACCTCGACGTAGGAAATAGAAATATTCGAACACTCGACCTGTCTTAATCCCTCGACCATTTCTACAGAAATGTAATCCAAAGGAATGCACTAAGATTTAGGCGACACCAATGCGAAGGGAATTAAACATCATAAACTAGGGACTGGATAGGGAATAACAGAAATGAACGGACACATTTTCGACTAGTTCAACCATTTTTCAACCCCCTGCGCATTGGCATCTTCTCAGCTTATGTTTCCGCAACGACTAGCACGCGCTTTTCTAAGCAAAATCGAACATAAAAACTGGCAGCAATAAATAAAATCATTCGGAAAGAGAAAAAAACGATGGATCAAAGAAATATCAAACTTGTCAAGACACTTTACGCGCCTTGAAACCTAAGACAACTTTTAAAGCAAGCAGATAAACGAAAACAAGAAAGCGCTCGCCAGTGATCCTCACCAAACGTAAATAAATACTCAAAATAAACGCTGACCTTGTCGAGAAAATAAATTCAAGACTTCGAGAAATTCTGTAGCAGGATAAACGTTTCCGCCAGATACTGATAATTTCGTTTACTGAAAGGTAGTTCAGGTCACGAAGTAGGAAGAATGTCGCAGAGCATTTGAAATTCCTCTCCGTCGCTTCTTTCGCGACTTGGATCCACAAAAAAAAGAGAAGCACTTAAAACCTGCACCATGAACAAAAGTTACAGAAAGTGGCTTCAATTTTCCTTTTGGCAAACTCAGAACAGCGTTAAAATATTTCAGCAGATCAGGCTCCACCCTTCCCGCTCCCACAGTCCGTAAGCAATTCTTAGAAAAAAGGAAAACCTTCGGTTGATTCAAATAACGTATACACAAATCACCACCGCCTTTCCACTCACTCGCTTACCCATCAGTGAACTCACTTTCGAAAGAAGTTAGAACATTGCCGATCGTAACGTAACTTCCGTCATGAAACCGCCTCGAACGTGACGCCACTCGAAACCGGCTAAAACTTGCACCATAGTATTTTCCTCTAAAATCCCTTCGCCATCCAGGTCAGACATACGATGAAGATCAAATGCGTGGGAATGCAACAAATCACAGCGAGCTCAGAATTCCTGGAGCTCTCCTACCGAAGACGGAAAACAAAATAAGGGTGTCCTCGCTTCCAATGACCAATACCTCGCGTGGGGTAGCCAGAGAACTCCTCTAAAGCGACCTTGTCCTTCTCACAGTTCATCATACCTGCTGCGTCAAGTGCATGACAAAACAATTACGGAATTATTTTTTCCGAAAAATTCTCCACTTCCCGGGAAATACTTCGAAAAAGTTAATCATAAAAAAACATTGGTCTTCAAAGCCCAATTAAATAATTGGCGATATGGTAGTTCTGCAGAGGCAGTGCACACATGCAACTTCAAGGGGACCAACCGCGGGATTTCATTTAGAAACGCGAAACCAAGTTTCCGGAAATCAGAAGTTCTGCAACGGCAGCTGGGGCTCATCAACGACGACGAGGTAATTGTTTTCTCATGCAATCACGAAACACTCGATAAGATGAAACATTTCAAAGACCCGCGCTCCAACCAATGACTAACAAGGCTAAGTCACTCGCCTACAACATGGAAAAATGTATATTCTCTGAAGGCAAAGGGTTGGTTTCTCCCTCCTGTTTTCACGAGTGCATTCCGGCGCACATGTCAACCGAGCGGGATACGTCACAGTTGATACCATTTCTTGTCCTTCTGCTTGGACAGGAGATCACGCGCAGAACGAGCAAACTGCTGCGAATCCGCGTTTAGTCGTTCAGATACGTCGCTAAGCTGGCCTAGCTTCTCCCCGCGCTCGTGAGTCGCTTGCAATGCCTTCGCGATCTGCAAATAAAAAAATATATATACACAAACACATACAGATTTCAATAGAAAATTCGTCGCTCAGGTTTCAAGGAAAACAGACGTAAATTTTTTTTTACATTTCTCAGAACACATCGATGTTTTATCTTAGCTTGGATTTACCTTTGTTTCCGACAGTCCCAAAAGAATGCGAATAAGGAATTAATTATTCTTCGAATGAGAAAATGAACATGTCCGAACTCCAAGACGGTAAAATCACGTTGTATCGAGAATCATGGTTTTTGACACATGTTGGACTGACACTTTAAGGAAAATGGCAATTAAATACGGTACTGTGAAGTGCTTCTCCTGAAGACAATTCAAGACCTGTTATAAACTCAAGTCTCTGAAAAAAGAAGAGCAAAACTTCCGAATGTATGGTACATCTCCTTCTATTGAAGCATACTATTTTACCCAAGTGAATTAAAAAAAAAATATTCAACAGAAGTAAATGTGAGAGAATACTCTCTTCTGAATCGAATTACTCATTCATCTCTATTCTTTCAAATAGAGGAAAATTCTTTCAACATGCTGTTTCTTTGAGAGAAAGGCAAACATTCTCAACTTGAGCTAAAGAATTTCCAAGAATATTGCACTTCACAGTGTGTATTTTTTGAACACTAAATGTTCTCCACAGAAAATTTTGCTTCTTTAATGATGCTGCACCAGTTCCATTTTTCTACATTTTCCTGCCATTTATCAAACAATCTCTATGGCCTATGCACAAAATCAGGGCCAACAATTCTTTGCACAGTACAGTACAGAGATTACAGCTTAAAATAAGTTCATTAAAACGAGAATACAGTGTGATAACAAAGCATCTATGGAGAAACTACCGAGCCAAGAAAAATCGCTATAACGAGATTCGCTGAAACGGAATTTTACCTTCATCACTGAAATTAAAGCTCGAACATAGCCAATATTTCTTGACGAACATGAAACGAGGTGTGGCTACTGAAATAAATTTGACCTGGGGCGACACCTACGTGGCATCTCAGAAAATCAGAGCCGCGAAAGTCGCTGTTGCAAATTTTTGCGTTTCTGTCGACTTCGATAATAAATCGAACACAAGCACCCGTACCTCATTCGTCGCTCCACCACTCTTCTCTTTGGCTTTGTCCAGATTCGGTCCTGGTTTTACAACTCCTCTCGTAGGCTTCCCGCTCGTCTCGCCAACTATAAAAAGTGGAAGATAACGTGAACATCGCGAACTCCGTCGTCAAAAAAAAGAAGATCCAACGCAAGGTCATTACAGAGTTCATCCCTGTCCACAGGCTTCGTCGTTCCAACACTCGTAAGCAAGGCCTTCAAGAAGGATTCTTTCGGAGCTTCCGGCATTTCCTGAGTCACGTGACATTCTGCGAGCATTTCGCTCAAGTTGGAACTGCGGAAGATCCGGAAAAGTTTACATCATTTGCGAAGCACAAACGTTCAACAGAAGCGGTAAGTTTTTCTCATGAATTTCATCAGTGAGTCACATTTCGAACAAGTTACACTTCATGAATTTACCATCGATTCGCTTGGCTATTCGTTTGATGACACCAGTAAGATGTGAAATAAATGATCACAAAGAAATTTTTTTTTCTTTCAATCTCTCACACTTGAAATTTGAATTCAACAATAATTTAAATTGTTGCTCGCTTTCGCGACGGAATCGAAAGAAACAAGGCGAAAACAATACAATACTGCACTTCATTTATAAAAATCACAGAAGCATCGTCGCAATACATTTTTAACCAGAATGAGAGCATACTCCTCGCATAACGGATTTTTCACAAGATGGACTCGGGTGGCAAACGATTTAGAATTCGAATATTGGTTACCGCACAAAAGCTAATGGTCCTTCGAAAAAAAAATTGAGTATTCATCAAATTTTAATTTTACCTATTTCACCTTATTTTACGTAGAACATGCTGTTACTGAACTCATTCAGTAATTTTTAAAATAATTATCGAAGTGAATTTCCAAAGGATCCACAGCTGATGAGAAATTCTATGTAATTTCCATCATTCGTTCTTGGAATTTTTGTTTTTCACGATCAGATCAACAAGCTTTATAGCTTTTAATTATACAGTATCTTTTTTGAAATGATGGATTTCAACTTGAATGTATCAAGCTCTTTACAGGGGTAGAAGTATATATTCACAAGAAGTAGGGGGAAAAGCCAGCAGATTTCAGAAGCTCCGTCATCGACCCCCAAAGCTCTCACCTATAAGCTGCTCCCAAAGAAAACCGTTGAATTTCATTCGGAGAAGCCATATATAGTCCGAGTCCATAGTTGCCGATAGTGAACGTGTTCTCAATCCTGGCAAAACTGCAAATAGAACAGCACATCTCCATGAAAATTCGACGCTTCTTCCGTATTCTGAATACGTATTTCTGTACTTACTTAAAATATCACTCTAAATCTTAACCGGGTTCTAAGAAAATTTTCGAGTTCCAAGAAAATTGTTGATCTTCACCCTTTGGAGCAACTGTCTAATCTTGAACCTGGCTAATCTCAGCAAAATATCTCAGAATAATTCGAAAAAAAAAACCGCGACGGATTTTATGACAAGAAATTCATATTTAAAACCACAGATTCTAAACTTACGCAAAACTTGAGCTAAAAGTCAAATGTATTCTTCTCATGGCGTCGTAAAATACAACACAACCAACGATGCAAGAAAAAGCTACTAACAACCAAAACGTAGAGTACTTCAAGTCAAACATTCAAATTTTTCAGGAAAACACGACATTTTCGCAGCTGTTTCTTCTCACAAGACAACATCGGAAGTTACCTTTTGCTGTTCGCAGATAAGAAGTCGACGTTGTACACCACTCGCAAGCTGGGCAAAGAAAACACGGCCAGGTGTCCAGTGGCAACGAAACAAACCAATGCCTCTTGACCTTAAATAAAAAAATAACAGAACATGCAACTCTCTGACGTTATCAATTGTAATACACACGACGAGAAAAAATGATTTTCAAGCATTTCATTTCTGAATTTAAAAAAGGGGGTTTTTGATGCAAGCGTAATGATAATATTGTATAACGGAAAATTTCACATGCCTCACGACCCAATTTCTCACCTGCAATCAATTAAGTATTCATGAAAATGACCCTTGTTACGGTATCAAGCGTTCATTCGTTCTCATTACGTGCCTCAACGTGACATACACTCCCATCATGACAATAATACAGTACGCTCTCTCTCTACAAAACCCATCAACAAAGATGAACAGTAAATCAGTTTCGAATGATCATCATTCCCGCCAACAGCCTTACTCCTTACACAAGCTCGTAAATATTCATTACTCAAGCTTAAGAAGCTTTTTCGACCCAAATTTGCCCATTAAATCATGGCAGATGCGTTCGGGACATCAAATACGCGAGACAACAAATGCCGGAAAAAAATAAATTGGATAAATAATAAGGTAATGCATATTTTCTCGTCAGCAGTTCGACATCAGGGGCAAGAATTCACCTGAACAATCATGAGTATTTGACAGCGACGCTTAGACGAATTTATGCGAAATGGACTGGAAAAGCAATGGCGAAATATCTTACATCTATGGTATCTTCTGAAAATTTCCAGACATGATGTTGATGAGAAAAGTCTGATTATAGCTCATAATCTTCCAAAGAATGGCCCATTGTTTGGCTTTAAATGCACGCATTCAAATGAAATTTAATCGTGAAAAAGTTGCCTCCAGATATTGTTCCAGTGATTATTCTCCGCTTGCCTGAGTATATTCTGGAAATTTCCCAAGATTTCTCCGACAATTCACAAAAAGAAATCCGGTGGCGGCGAAATTGAGGATTCCTGTCGCACTTCCGCACATGAAAAGCACGAACCCGTTTACTCGAGTGATACTGCACTCTAGTTCGGAATGCGATCTATTTTTCTTTTGGTCCACTCAGCAGAATTTGCCAACGCATGAAAGATATTCAAGTTTCTGATAAATTCTGGGACTTTCAAAATCAATTTTCATCGATAGAAAATTGAAGTGAAAGCAGCTAAGTTTTTGTTGTTGCGTTTATTGATCGACTAGTCTCGATAAAAATGACCTTATTTAAAAAATTATAATCACCCTTCATACATTAAAAAAAAAATTTAGTTTAAAAAATCAAATTTCATTTATAGGCGAACCCACTTACTTTCCTGACTTTCTGACTCCAGAAGCCTGGAATTTCTGACTAAATTACGGTAGGTTTTCCCGAGAAAAGGAAGAACGGTGTCATAAAACCCTGGCTCTTACCCTTCAAAGGCTCGTGCATCTCGAAGGGCTAAAAGCTGAACCTTTCTGCATTATTTTTAAATTCAATTTCATAAGATAATAAAAATAAAAATGCTTGCTTGTTTTGCGGGCTGCGAACAAAGATATTGCCTGATATAGACACTTGTGTATGCAAATTGCACAAATACGCAAATGAAAGCAGCCTAGGTTTTTTTTAGTTCGTTTCTTCATTGACTAGTTTCGATCAAAAATTAATAAAAACCTGGGATAAAAGGCCCTCGGCTTTTGAACTTAAATGCAAGCTACGAACTCACCACGTTCAATACCTTTTTACAGTATTCATTCAATAAGCAAAATCCCTAAAGAAGAACCTCGCCAACGTCTCAATCGATAAACCGGCTCGTAAACGATCACATATAAGTCATATACAATCCAGACACACATGAGACCAGCACTAGGTTTATTCCATACTGAATTTACAGATAAGAGCCATCAATTTGTAAATTGTAGTGAAATTGAGCTAAGGTTATTTTTCCGCTTGTTGGATAGGCTCGATAAAAATTAAAGGATTTCTATTTTAGAAGGCCCACGGCGTTTGAACTCAAATTCAAGGCACGAGCTCATCACCATATCCACGTTCAATACATTTTAATTCATTCAATCAACAATTTCCCCTGAACATGAACCTCGTCAACGTCTTGATCGATAAACCGGCTCGTATAAACGATCACACATTAGAACATGAGAGCAAATAATTTCATTCGATTGCAGTAAAAGCAGCCAAGATATTTGTCTGGCGTTTTTTCTTTTTCGATTGACGAGTCTGGATGAAAATTAATGAAAACCTACAGTAGTTTGAAAGGACGTTGGCGTTTTAACACAGATTCATAAGGTACGAGCTCACCACCCCAAACCCACGTTCCAACACAATTTTCGGTACTGTACTTTCCTGTTATCTCTGTACCTCATTCCTAGACCGCACTACCATCCAGACAAATCTTTAGGAAAAGTTCATAATCACAACGACCTACCAAAAACTGTGAATTTTATTTTTTATAACAGGAAAGTAGGTACAGAGATAACAGGAAAGTAGGTACAGAGATAACAGGAAAGTAGGTACAGAGATAACAGGAAAGTAGGTACAGAGATAACAGGAAAGTACCCAATTTTCATTCATTCAATAAACAAACTCCCCAATCCAAAACCTCGCCAACGTCTCAATCGATAAACCGGCTCGTATAAACGATCACACATCACAACATAATCGCTACAGCTTTTTTACTCCATATACGCACATACACACACACACCATCGAAAAAAAAGAGGGAAAACAACATACCGTCAATGGAAGTCCTCGCTGCACGCAACACCGACGAATTGTCCGTCACGCCAGTTTGATACAAGACGGAATGCGAAGGCAAGGAGACCACGCGGATCTGCTTGTCGCTCACCACGACCGTGAACTGACATTCACCCTCGTCGCCTGTTCAACGGAGCGAAACACGCAATGCGTCAATCGGAATTTCAGCGCTCAACATTTCCGGGGGGGGGAGGCAACATAATTCACATCGTTATAAAGGTATAGACGAGGAGGATGGGGACACATTCACGGTCATTTCTAAAAGATGGAAAGATCAGTAGGTTATTATTATTATTATTACTATTCGACATAGGGACACTGACTCGACACAGGGACATTTTGTGATAAAATTGCAAATACATTTTAGGCCAAATTAGAAGAAACAGTTATTTCCAACTCTAAAATTGATGTAAACAGTGTTCTTGGACATTTCTCTTACCAATTTACCATCCATTCAGCTGATTTTAAAAAATTACCTCCAGCAGAGAGGAACTTATTTTTCTCTTTTTTACTTAAATATTATTTTTACAGAGAATGCCAACATTTCTAAGTACTGTACAGAGGCATCAGTATTAAATTCCCCAAATGTCCATACTGTGTTGAAATAAATTGATTAGAATCGGTTTAAATTGGGAGACAATTTTTATTTTCATGGAATTATGGTGAGTATCTTGTACATAAAACACCAATTAAAAATTATATAATGTAAGTCTAAGGAAAAATGAGATTCGACTTAGGGACACTCTTCATGCACCAATTACGTCCGCATCTTGGGGTCTCACTATATTTATTTACCCCGTACTGTAGCACTGTAATAACATTTAGATACTCTTAGAGAATCTGATAAAATGTTCGTTGAAACGCCATGAGCACGTTAATAGAGCCCTTCAAGATTTCTCCAAAAATATTATCTTTCTAAGTTGTTCTATCACTTGATATTTATCTGGGAACAGGCTGAATACCTTGTGCTTTAAATCAGTGATCCCCAACCTTTTTGGGCCCGCGGACTGGCATATTTTCATACAATTTTTCGCAGACTGGCAAATTTCCCAGAAACTTTTCTGCGGACCGGCAAAGTTTCAAAAAATTTTGAACCTCGTGAACGCTGACAAGCGGCAAATAAAGCTTATTTATCCATCTATAATTATTCCGAATTTGTTACGCATTTTTCTCTGCCTCCGCGAAGAAAATTGGTTTTCAAGCTATTGATTCGATTTTGCATTTCGAAATAGAGAGAATTTTAAGGTCTAGGACAGGAATTGAAATCCTCATTTCTGTAAGATGAATTTTAGGAGAATCACTCATACTGTAAGGTAACTGTACTGTACCTATATTCACTCCAATTCATTACGCAATATTTTCCTTCCCGCAAAAAAATGGTTTCAAGTCGCTCAATGTTTAATTTTAAATCAACAGAATGTTTAGCTCGAAAACACATATTTGAATCCTCATTTTCATTAGATGTGCTGCAGGAGAATCACTCATGCTGTACCAATATTCACTCGAATTCATTACGCACTTTTCCCCCCTCTTCCGAGAAAATTGGTTTCAAATAAATCAAGTTTTACTTTCGTCACGAAATTTTCATTTCGAGGACATGAATTGGAATCCTTATTTCTATAATATGTGCTCAAGGGGAATCAATCACTTAGTGTATTTATATTCACTCCATTTTATTACGCACCACTTTTCTCTCCTCCTCAGCAAAATATTGTTTCCAAAACGCTTAATCTAGCCATAATTTCAAATTAAGAGAAGCTTCAGTTCGAGGACACTGAAAAGTGATCCTCGTTTTTGTAGATACGTTATAGAAAAATCTCGGTAAGTTGCTCGGAAGTCATCACTAGACACGGGGAAAAAAGAATACTGTATGCATGATGATTTTGGTCATTTATCTGAGAAAAATATGTATAAATCGGGAAATAAACAAGGTAATGTTAACATATCGGAAGCATCTTGAAGACTTAAAAAATTGCTTCAAGCTAAAAAAAAGAGCTCAACATTTTTCCTAACGTGGAAAAATAAGGTCCTGAAGATGGTCGAACGGTTGCCGATTTTCTGTTGACAAATTTCGGAGGACTTTTGAGACTTCTGAGAAGAAAAACTTCGTCGCTGGACTGGAATTTTTGAGTCCTTGAGAACAGTCTTCATGACGAAAAAAAAAAATATTTGGCCTTCCCACCGATAGTAGAAATTTCATAGAAATCGTTCATCTCTTTTTTCTGAAAATCTGCAGATTGCGAAGGTCGAAGTATTGTACTATTCTATAGTACTACACAGATACCGCGCACGATAGATCATCACACATGTCTTCAATCTTCGCGAATTTAATTTTGTTTTTGCTTTTCATGACACAAACCTGATGGAACGTTGGACGCAGGAAGTCGCGATTCGCCATCACGCAAGTTGCTCGGCTGCTCTTTCCAGGACAGCGAAGGTTGCTGAATAAATGTCCCATTCTGGTCCAACAACATGATGCTCACTATCCGTCCCTTCAATCGGAATATCGTTCCTGCGAATCGAAACATGTGATAATCAGCTCAAACCACGCAAACTTTCCTCTTTGATTAAAAAAAAAATCCTTCAAACGCAGAAAACAAAAAATACACCCGTGAAAAAAAAATTCAAGACAATGTAACTCAACTTGTTCCGCATTGAAAATTTGGTCAATTCGTGAGTCAAAACATAAAATCTAACGCTTCTCGAGGTTGTATCGAATTACACGAGAAGTCGCCCAGAAACTTCGTTGGTACTTTTCCAAGAAATTGAGCAAACGTGAAACAAAAGCAACTCAAACCTAAAGCTACTGATTTTTATGAAATTTCACAAGTCACATTTCACATGAAATTTCACACAAGAAACGAAGAGGTTTCATCGAATAAAATAAAATTCAGTAAGCGGTCCAAAATTCATATTACGACAATCAAAAACTTTTTTTTTTAAATGTCTCGGCAAATCTTCATCACCGAGTCAAAATTTTTCCCTCCAAATGCCAGGATTTCCGTTCGTAAATACGCATACAACCATGATAACATTACTTCCTTTATAAAGTGAAATCTAATCGTATCAATCTCAACGAAGGGGTCGCGGCTCTGTAAAGTCCGTGAAATCAAACCTGTCACACACCATTTTCCCACAAAACCCTTGTTGAAACAACATCTAAACCCCGCCCTTTTTTCTCAACATCAAGCGACCTCACAAGAACAAGAGCCATCACGAGATCGGACAACGTCACTTTGAATAACACACACACACACACACACACACAAACAAACAAAAACCCCTTCCAGAATTCCGACGGGGGAAAAAAAAGGAGAAAATTAGGACTCAAAAGTTGCGCCACTCGGGCGTAAAAGCGCGTGGGAAAAAAAATTCAATTTCCGGGCCCGGATGAAGAAGAAGAAGAAGAAGCGAGAAGAACATTTCCCGCTGTTCCTTCTCCGAGTGACTAAATTATGGAGCAATTTCAAAACTTTATTGCTTTATACACTCACCGCTCGGAGAGATGCAAATGGGTTGTGTGGCACGTTGCTCCGCCGTCAGCGGGAAGCTAAGCACAACCACGAGCACTGATCCCAGGCTCGTCCCGACCCACAACGTTGGGCTAGTGTGGATGTCTGGAATGAGCAAAAAAATATTTTTTTTAAACAAGGAATAAAGGAGATTCATCAACCCGGAAATGATCGTGGTTCCGTATGTCACACGCAAACCACAATTGTTTCGCTGCGAAAATTCCCGCCTTACGTGACCAGAAACCTTTAGAGATCCAATACTGTACGGTACTCCCAGTTGGGCGCGCCTCAAAACAACGCGTCCAAAAGAACGCGGGTCGAGAAAAAAAAGGTACAAAAAATCAATCATTGTAAAATGATTAGGCAATTTCGTCACGTTAGGTAAGGATCGATCAGTACTTCCGTTGTTGGAAGAAAGATAATTTTTTCGGATTAACGGAGAGGGACATAATTACAGTAAAATCTTGCAATAACAAATACCGTTACAACAAAATTTTCAGAAAAACAATATTTCTTCAATTCCTGACGGAAGTCTCACAAGGTATACGTTGAACATCTCGTAATAACATACTTTCCAATTACACTTGACGAACTTTTTTTTTTTCAAGGAACACGTTGAATTTATCCTGGTAAAATTTTCTCGACTGAGGTTGGCAAAGTCTTGAATTTCTCCATTCCCAAAACAAAAATAAATTCTCGAATAGAACATAATTCATGTCACAAGTAGTACAGGAATTTTCTCTTTGCAGCGATGGATGTTACATAAGCATTGCTGCTGCTGATAAATATGAAATTTTACTTATTATAAATACTGTACTGCATATGCAGGTCTAATTTGAAAACCCTTTTTTCCAGTAATTACATTTCCAAATCTGGCTTTGAAAAATTATGCAGTGCAACAATTTCCTTCCAAATTCCGGAAAAGTTCGTTTTAACTAGATTTCACTGTACAGTTGATAATTTGATAATTGCATTTGATAATTTTCTGATCACTTTTCAGATTTTTGCCCTAACGAATCTTTCGTGAATTTTCAGCGCCCGAGTACAAAAAAAAATGGAAAAAATCATCGGCAAATCCTCATGACGCATTTCCAACAACTACGCAAAATCGGAAATTTGTGTGCTGGCTTACGACTTACAACTCCAATGGGATTTGTACAGCTAGCCGTTCGTTTTGAAAAGTGTTTGATACTTTATTCTTTTTTCCGTCTGTGAGCAAGCTTCAGAACGGTAACTGAAACCTTACTTAAAGTTCTGGGAAACTTCAATACCTTGCACCTAAATCAATAAAGAAACACAATTTTAATTTTTTTCGCTGATATTGTCATTCAATATATACCGGGATTTTTGCGGACCTGAATTAAGTCAAGGTCAAACCCGTCGATCTATGCATCAATCATACTTTTTACACACGCTCTCCTGTTCCGGTATCAATAAAGGAATTTGCACGGGCGCATCCGAGTTCCGGTTGTTCCAAAAAGGTGCGTGACCGGAACGAATGCCCAGCTCATGTTTATCGAATTATATTACATGCATCTTTCACGCTTTCCTGCATCGTGACGAGGTTCGTTCTTATAAATTCTAGGGTCACTGTTTCCGGCAAAATATATATAAATTTCAAGCACAGGAATCCGAACGTGGCATCCAACTTTCGTCATACAAAAAATAAATTGTGTTTGCGTAACCAAGTGAAGGTCACGGATTCATAATTCGAAGGTCAATCCGGCGGAAATGATGACGAATTTCTTCCGAACGGAAGTTGCAGAATGAAAAGCCTCCATCTCGACAAACACAATAAGTTAATGCTTCCTACGCATGAAATCGTGAAATTTCGAGGCAAGACTACGATATCTTAATTTAATCGCATTTATTTTGCTTTCACTGTAATATAAACTCTCGCTGGTAAATCTTCATTCCGGTCCACGCTAATTTTCATCCTGATAATACCGTACATGTAAATGGAGAGTCAACAGTATACAAGATTTTCTGAATAATCCCCATTCCAAAATTTATGTTTACATGTTCATCTCTTTTTCCTCATCCATGAGATACAAATCGGATGGGGTAAAATCAAGGATTTTTAAATATGAGGAAATCATCCCGTCAATTACTTTTGATCACATAATCCGAATTATCCAAGTTTCAAATGAATCACTTCTTGACACTCCTGAAAAATGGACTGCACATCTAAATTAACTCTTACAACATATTCCGCACTTTTATTCGACCGTAATAAAAATTCGTGCTGCATTAAAAATTCCTGACCCAGAACCAAGGAATCTCAAAATTGTTTCAACAAGTAAAACCAAACATTGGCATTAATTCAGAACATAAACTTTCCCAAAGAAAAACGTGACTAGAAACGAACTGTTCTGCTGGGAAAAATTGGAAGTCTACAGTGTATGCTTAACGAGGCTCGTTGATAAAACCATCTGCACCAGACATTAGCCGGAAAAGGATAATCAATTTCTCAAACAGAATGGGTACTTCGTTTGTTCAAATTTCCGGATATTCGAATACAGTACCAATAAAATTTTTGCTTACAGTTTACATTTTCTGACGAATTAAACCTTTTCATAATCTCGGCCTGAAACAACCCTACATTAAATTAACTGGTCCCAAATTCCGATCCATGTACGGTATATGAAAAATTCGGACTAAATATTTCGGTATTTTAAACTTACGTCGCATTAATACCATCCAAATGATCAAATATCCCAGCTAATTTCCTTTTCAATATCGTGAAATGGACGGTATTATTTAAGGTCTTCCTGAAATATAACTGCCTTTACTTGAATAATTGTTTTCCCTGAGAATTATCTGTTGGATTCGATTAACCGGGAAAAGGCATCCAAACAAGAGATTTCTGCTTAATCGAATCATACCCATCACAAGTTTTTGAAAAGGGAGAGAAAAATAAGTTTAACGATAGTACTGTATTTCTAGNATCCTCATGACGCATTTCCAACAACTACGCAAAATCGGAAATTTGTGTGCTGGGAATGCTGAATGTTGAGGTTACCCTAAACATGTCGATCGGCAAGCAAAACTTTTCACAAACTATGAAATAAGAAAAAAGGCAGACACTCGTTCGAAGTCTTGCCATTGACTTTGGAATGAATTTCAAATGGGAAACTTCAATACCTTGCACCTAAATCAATAAAGAAACACAATTTTAATTTTTTTTCGCTGATATTGTCATTCAATATATACCGGGATTTTTGCGGACCTGAATTGAGTCAAGGTCAACCCGTCGATCTATGCATCAATCATACTTTTTACACGCTGTTCCGGTATCAATAAAGGAATTTGCACGGGCGCATCCGAGTTCCGGTTGTTCCAAAAAGGTGCGTGACCGGAACGAATGCCCAGCTCATGTTTATCGAATTAAATTACATGCATCTTTCACGCTTTCCTGCATCGTGACGAGGTTTGTTCTTATAAATTCTAGGGTCACTGTTTCCGGCAAAATATATATAAATTTCAAGCACAGGAATCCGAACGTGGGATCCAGCTTTCGTCATGCAAAAAATAAATTGTGTTTGCGTAAGCAAGTGAAGGTCACGGATTCATAATTCGAAGGTCAATCCGGCGGAAATGATGACGAATTTCTTCCGAACGGAAGTTGCAGAATGAAAAGCCTCCATCTTGACAAACACCATAAGTTTATGCATCCTACGCATGAAATCGTGAAATTTCGAGGCAAGACTACGATATCTTGATTTAATCGCATTTATTTTGCTTTCATTGTAATATAAACTCTCGCTCGTAATTCTTCATTCCGGTCCACGCTGATTTTTATCCTGATAATACCGTACATGTAAATGGAGAGTCAACAGTATACAAGATTTTCTGAATAATCCCCATTCCAAAATTTAGGGTTACATGTTCATCTCTTTTTCCTCATCCATGACATAAAAATCGGATGGGGTAAAATCGAGGATTTTTAAATATGAGGAAATAATCCCGTCAATTACTTTTGATCACATAATCCGAATTATCCAAGTTTCAAATGAATCACTTCTTGACACTCCTGAAAAATGGACTGCACATCTAAATCAACTCTTACAACATATTCCGCACTTTTATTCGACCGTAATAAAAATTCGTGCTGCATTAAAAATTCCTGGCCCAGAACCAAGGAATCTCAAAATTTTTTCAACAAGTAAAACCAAACAATGGCGTTAATTCTGAACATAAACTTTCCCAAAGAAAAACGTGACTAGAAACGAACTGTTCTGCTGGGAAAAATTGGAAGTCTACAGTGTATGCTTAACGAGGCTCGTTGATAAAACCATCTGCACCAGACATTAGCCGGAAAAGGATAATCAATTTCTCAAACAGAATGGGTACTTCGTTTGTTCAAATTTCCGGATATTCGAATACAGTACCAATAAAATTTTTGCTTACAGTTTACATTTTCTGACGAATTAAACCTTTTCATAATCTCGGCCTGAAACAACCCTACATTAAATTAACTGGTCCCAAATTCCGATCCATGTACGGTATATGAAAAATTCGGACTAAATATTTCGGTATTTTAAACTTACGTCGCATTAATACCATCCAAATGATCAAATATCCCAGCTAATTTCCTTTTCAATATCGTGAAATGGACGGTATTATTTAAGGTCTTCCTGAAATATAACTGCCTTTACTTGAATAATTGTTTTCCCTGAGAATTATCTGTTGGATTCGATTAACCGGGAAAAGGCATCCAAACAAGAGATTTCTGCTTAATCGAATCATACCCATCACAAGTTTTTGAAAAGGGAGAGAAAAATAAGTTTAACGATAGTACTGTATTTCTAGTTAAATATTGCAAAATCTGAGAAAAATCGAGGAGGACATATTCAATCAATGAAATTCAACGTCCACAAACGAGGATGTTCACTTCACATGCATCCATCGAGGAACAAATAATAGTAAAATGATACTTGAGTTGAAACATAACTTGATCTCGAAAATTTTCCATCATGTATTCCTTCTGCCACTTGGTACATGAGTACTTACTACAGTAAAATCTTCGTACCCTAGCTTAAAGAAAAAAATGGACCAAAGTTTCCGTAAATTATAGGAAACTTTTCAATTACAAGCTCTTATCAAGGAAATTTCACAATGTAGCAGCATATGTCATATTGCAATGTCATACTTCAAATTGCTGAGTATATACTGTAATTCAATTTACAGGTAGACTCTCCAAGCTCAATACAACGATTTTCTCTGTATAGTACAGTAATTTTTTGTGGCCCCATAGGTGCTCTCTAACCATAAAATACGGTTCTCTACAACGAAATTCTCCTTACAAAAAAATATTTTCTTGTTCCCTGAATTTCGTTTAAAATAATGGAAAACAAATACAGGCGGAATCTCTCGCTCTCACCATATCTGTACAACAAAATTCTCCCTACAAGAAATCTTTTCTGGTTCCCTGAATTCCGTTGTAAAGAGACAGAGAGAGAGTCCACCTTTACTTTTTATTTTACCATAATTTCAAAAAAGATACATTTTCGAGTAAACGGATTTTTGTCGATTCTCGCACGTTACGAATAATCGCAATTTCATAGCCACTCTTCCGATGAAAAGCAAAATAAAAAAATAAAAATGAACAAGGACTCACCTCCTTTACGAGCAAAAGCTTCGAAGAAAGCCAAGCTCTGGATAGCTTCCGAGCTCACGTTCTCCAAACTCGAAGTGCTTGACGACCTCGAACGCGTGAAGGTGGTGTCCAGTTTTTCTGCTCAACCCACACGAAAACTTCATTAAAAAATACATTCTCCGGGGCTCATTGATATACAAATATTCCACACACGAAAAAAAAAAGGATGAGGAGAACAAAGGCACGAAATAAGGTGCAACCAAAATCCCCACCAGCATGATGATGAGCCGTGCAAAAAAAAAAAAGCGACCAACGAACGACGCATGCATCAGGTCAGGTTTAACAATAAGGGCTTACACGCGTGCACACATACACACACAAAAAACGGTAATCCATGAAAGGAAAAAGATGTGATGGAAAAGGAACACAACCTCAGATAAATGAAGGAAACGAACGGTATTTCGTGCTACAAGCAGAGCATGCAACTATATGTTAATCCCCGTCGACCCAAATTCCCCCTTTTTTCCTTCCCCCCCCCCCCTTTTTTTTTTTTACCCCCGGAGAAGCCGCACATATGACGCGTACAATGCAGCGTGTTTCACGAATGTCAATCGTATGATCACCTGACATGAGAAAATGAAATCTCAAAGTCTTCCCTTGTTTTTATTAAATGTTCATTTTTTCAAGCCTATGCGATTTCTGTGGAACTTCGGGATGCCAACGACATCTTTATTTCACAGAACTGACCTCGAATCCAAAAATAATAAACCAATCTCAATAAATGTAGAACAATTGTTCATCCCGACTTCAAAATAATTTAGACTTGAAATTCTCGATCAGTGACTCAAATACATAAAAAAAAACGAATATTTACACTCCCTTTTATTGTTTCTCTCAATTGTCCGCTATTTCATAATTTTAATGAGATTGTACATAGATGTCGCCCGAATTTATCAGAAGCCTGAATGTTTTAAAATCGGGGTCCAAGTTAGGTTAGGTAGCAGAAACTTGATTTAATTTTCAGGTTGCTTCAGTTTTGGGTATTGCTCAAAAGATTATAGATTGAAGCGACACCTATTCGACAGCGCAACAAGAAAAACTAAAAAAAAAAATAATACACGCTCCATACCTTCAAGTACGGTTCTCGAAAATTTGACCAAAGAAAATTTTCCATTAGACATCCCAAGAAGAACTTCCGCCGCCTCAAGGCAAAATAGCTTCACAGTCGGATCATGAGCAAATTACAAAAGGTGGATTCTTAATCCCTGAAAATTATTCGTCCATCTCTATGACACAGTGAGTTCGCACAGAAACTTTTCTGAACTTTCCACGACGCAACTCCTGGGCAAAGACTGAGTCTCGCATAAGTTGTTAATTTCAACCGCCTTCAAAGTGGAATGGATTAAAGACTTTTGATGTCGGAATATTACGAGAAGAAACTTCAACGAGACACGTCTGAAAGCATAAACGATTTTCTCAACGAGTGCCTCTCCTTGGAAAATTTCTTTTCCAGCATAGCAATTGAAGTTAATTTTAATTTTATACAAAATTATAACATATCAAAAGGTTTATATACAGTGAGACAGTTCACAATTCTTTCGACAAATGCGACACCAGCTACCATATAAAATAATCGAAGGTTCACTTCATGGTTCCTACGTAAAATGATTAGGAACAAACCACATTCAAACCGACTTTCTTCGGCACCGAAGGATTTACAGGTTCGGGTAAAAGTGTCCTATTTAATTCAGGAAGACGCTCACACAAACAAAGGCACGCAAAAAGTGCTGATCTGGAATGAAGGTAAGCCTCAAAAACACATCGATCATACCGAGAATCACGACCCGAGGCAGGGGTTTCCGGGTAGCACGAAAACGAACGACCGAATCGAAGGGGAACTATTCGATACCTATTGGGTTTCGGTTCGCTTGTCGAATGTAACGACAAAATTCCGGGGGGAACCTGGCAACTTTTCGAGCGACAACTCGACAATTACCTTTTTTTTTTATTTATAAGAATCCCCGCAATGCATGTAAAATTTATTACCGGTACATAAATATTGGAGACACTGTAGGCAGACTTCAAGCTTGAATTTAGAAATCCCAGACTCAAATTTTATGCATGAATATACAGTACAGTACTTCCTGCTCAACGCAAAAATTTCCGCAAATATTCGTTAGTATGCTTGGCTCGTTGACTTCATAAGGTCAAAGCACGAGCTACTCACGGTACGCCAAGTACTTGCAGCGTTTTTGAAAAATAAATTACAGGCTGATTTTTTATGAAATAAATAAAATTTCTCAGGAGACATAATAATATTCTGTACCAGGAAAAGCGTGATCATGACTTGCAGAAAAAAAAGGGAACACCAAGCTTGAAATTATGAAGTCCACTAGTCCACAGTGCTCGAAGTCGTTAAAAACCTTGCCGTAATCTACGAAGGAGAATTCCGACATCGTAATTCATCTTTCTATAGCTTACTTCCATTGCTATACAAGGTTGTATTGAAAAGAAACTGGCAAATTCTTCAACAGTCATATTATATGCAGATAATTGAGCATGTTCGTTTAACACTTTTTTTTTCAATTTTTCAGTTCGGAGAACACTTCTGGAATTCAGAATGCAAAGCGGTGAAATTATTTCAGACCAGAATTTGAACGTCACATCTTTTTAAAATGAAAATTTAATCAAAATAAAAAATCCTATTTTACATTAAAATTATTAGATGACTTAGCCTGATAAAGTTATAAATTATAATGATACTATTTTTTTTCCACAAATTTAAACGTCCATACAGCACATTGACTTACCGTTTAGACTCAAAATGGGATCACGGTTTTTCTCTTATTTAGATCACGGGACGGGAATCATTCACTTCATATTTTGAAGCCAAAAGCCACATTGCGACGTTTCATATTTAAAAAAAAGAAAAATGTAAAACTTGTCTACTCAATTTCTGTTCAACTCGGGAATGAAGAATGTTAGGTCACCTTGAGTCTGGGATAATACAGTGCGACCACAAGATGCGGACGTAATTGGTGTCCCTAGGTCAAGTCTCATTTTCCCTTAGATTTACATTATATAATTTTAATTGGTGTTTTATGGACAAAATACTCGCCATAATTCCATGAAAATAAAAATTGTCTCCCAACTTAAACTGATTCAATCAATATATTTCAACATAATATGGACATTTGGGGAATTTAATACTGATACCTCTGTACAGTACATTCAAATGTTGGCATTCTCTGTAAAAATAACATTCAAGTGAAAAAGAGAGAAGGAAGTCCCTCTATGCCGAAGGTAATTTTTTTAATTAGCTCAATGGATGGTAAATTAGTGAGAGAAATGCCCAAGCACTTTTTTTTTCATCAATTTTAGGGTTGGAAATATCTGCTTCTTTTAATTCGGCCTGAAACTTGCTTCAAATTTTATCACAACACTGTCCCTATGTTGAGTCATTGTCCTCATGTCGGGCCTTTTTTTATTAATTTTCAAGGGTAAAGTAAGTGTCCCTATGTCGAATTGTCCGCATATCGAGGTCTCACTCTACTTGCAACGACTGCCTTCATAAACCCTTGATCGCCATAAGTATTCGCTATGCATTCAAAACGGGAAAAAACGTACTGTACCATTATCAAAAGTACCTGTCGAAATGTCGCTCGTTCAAAGCATGACGGAACAGACAGACGGCCCGCGAGCGGGCCACCACAGGGCCACTCGCCCCCGCGACGATTGACGAATCGGAAATCGAAGCATGGTTGTGTGTGAGGGTTGGCCACAATTTGATGATAACGACCCCCACACATTCATTCAAACACACACACACACAGACACACAACGACCCGGACCACCAGCGAAATCCGACAACATTCTCGCGTCAATAACCCTCTTGTTTAATGCATGTCGTGATTCTCGGTACTCTATTCACTAAGGAGGGGGAGAAAACAGGGTTCTTTACGGGTTGCTTCTCGAGCGGAATTTCGTGTGGGAGTTGCGGAATACGCATCGACGGGAGAAACTGCGCTGGGAAATCAACAACTGACCGAGCCATTCGCCAAAGTTCTTTCCACGTTTGTACACTTTTTTTCCTCTTGCCTTCAAAAAAAAAAAAAAAAAAATTGTAGATGCGAAATGTTGTCCAGAAAATGTTTCCGCCTTCAATTACAATCAAGAATGTTTACACTGGTTGTCAAAGGATAATTTGCTTTCCAAAATTTCATTTTCTCACCGTGGTCAAATAATGAAGAAAATGTGGACCAATTTCAAAAATACAATTCTTCCTTCAATATTATGGCTATCGCGGCCCTTAGCAAAAAATAAATATACCCTCCATCGAAAAATGCACGGTTTTTCATCGAAATTTCGAACGGCAAGTTGAGTGAGTCCGATTACGCATTCAATTTATCCCCGGTGAGAAAAAAATCTTTCGATCAACATTACAATGATAAATACTGTAATTCAATATCACAGGTTACAATTTATGTACCACTTTCAGACGAGTTTAAATACAATTTCAATTGATGCTCTTAAACGTTGAGTACTTCATCTCAAAACGCACGTTTTTGGGCCAGAATCGAAAAATCGTCTTCAACTCGAATAAATACAGTATTTCTCGAATGAAACGATGCGTCTAATTAAAATTCCCTGACACATAACTTTCCAAAAATTGCGAGACAGACTTGAAAAGGGAACATTTATCATTTACATGCGACAGCTTACATAAATGAAAAGCCGTATTTCGCACCTAAAACTCTTTGAAAATTTCCAATAGGTTCGAGTGAGGATAAACAATACTCTTCCAAAAAAAAACAAGGAACAGTTCAAAGTGTAAAAAAAAAATCGCGTCAATGATGAATTACATAGACAACACATTGACAATGCGGAAACACTTTCCGAAGCAACAATTCATGTGTTCTGGACTGGAAAACACTTCAGTCGATGAAAAAATCACGATGCATGCCATGCGTTATAAACAGGTAATAAGTCACATTTTCAAAAGCGTATGGGAACATAACCCCGGGTTGTGCGACAACTGTGCAGAATTTGGTGAAATATGTACACGTATTCGCGATGAATTATAAAAAAAAAAACAAAAAAGGTTATTGCGAAGGTAATAAGACGGAAAAATTTTATAGATGTTCGAAAACATTCGGGTAACATAAAAACGAAAAGGAATAACAGGAGTGGCTCAATCAATTGACAATATTCACAGCGACAGTCCATTCAAAACAAAAACAAAAAAATGGGTGATCACAATACCGATAGTTTTTTTTTTCCTGAAACCGATTGCTTCTCGAGCCATTCGCCAAAGTTCTTTCCACGTTTGTACACTTTTTTTCCTCTTGCCTTCAAAAAAAAAAAAAAAAAAAATTGTAGATGCGAAATGTTGTCCAGAAAATGTTTCCGCCTTCAATTACAATCGAGGTTTACACTGGTTGTCAAAGGATAATTTGCTTTCCAAAATTTCATTTTCTCACCGTGGTCAAATAATGAAGAAAATGTGGACCAATTTCAAAATTTACAATTCTTCCTTCAATATTATGGCTATCGCGGCCCTTAGCAAAAAATAAATATACCCTCCATCGAAAAATGCACGGGTTTTCATCATTTCGAATGGCAAGTTACGTGAGTCCGATTATGCATTCAATTTATCCCCGGTGAGAAAAAAATTTTCAATCAACATTATGACAATAAATAATTCAATATCACAGGTTACAATTCATGTACCACTTTCAGACGACTAGAAATACAATTTCAATTGATGCTCTTAAACGTTGAGTACTTTATCTCAAAACGCACGTTTTTGGACCAGAATCGAAAAATCGTCTTCAACTCGCATATTTTCATTCGAGAAATACTGTATTTATTCGTCTAATTAAAATTACCTGACACTAAACTTTCTAAAAATTGCGAGACAGACTTGAAAAGGGAACATTTATCATTTACATGCGACAGCTTACATAAATGAAAAGCCGTATTTCGCACCTAAAACTCTTTGAAAATTTCCAATAGGTTCGAGTGGGGAAAAAACAATATTCTTCCAACAGCAAAAAATCAAGGAACAGTTCAAAGTAAAAAAAAAAAAAATCGCGTCAATGATGAATTACATAGACAACACATTGACAATGCGGAAACACTTTCCGAAGCAACAATTCATGTGTTCTGGACTGGGAAACACGTCCGTCGATGAAAAAATCACGATGCATGCCATGCGTTATGAACAGGTAAAAAGTCACATTTTCAAAAGCGTATGGGAACATAACTCCGGGAAGTGCGACAACTGTGCAGAATTTGGTGAAATATGTACACGTATTCGCGATGAATTATAAAAAAAAAACAAAAAAGGTTATTGCGAAGGTAATAAGACGGAAAAATTTTATAGATGTTCGAAAACATTCGGGTAACATAAAAACGACAAGGAATAACAGGAGTGGCTCAATCAATTGACAATATTCACAGCGACAGTCCATTCAAAACAAAAACAAAAAAATGGGTGGTCACAATACCGATAGTTTTTTTTTCCTGAAACCGATTGCTTCGAGAAAAAAATACAAAAATACAGAAGAACTACTCAAAACGACATTTAAAAAAGGAAAAACCGAAAAGTAAACGGAGAAATCGAGTGAGCACGACAAAATTAAATGGAATAGAATATAAGCGATTGTTTTCACTAATTTCATAATTTGGAATCATTCGTGCAACACTCGAAAATTTCCGATTCGAAGTCACACGCAAATTTCACCGGAAGGGTTCTAAAAATTAGGCAATCGGTTTCAAGAAAAGAGGTAAAATTCTGGGTAGGGAAAAAGTGTGACAGTACGATTTCATGATGTAGAATCATTGGTCTATAAAATTTTTCCAAGGAACTCTTGTGCGAGAAATAAATGAAGACCATTGGTGACCTCAGCAGAAGGAAGTAAGAATACACTCAAAACAACCGGAAATAAAAATTATCCATTGAATTGAAAACCTTCAGTTTTGCAAAATTTCAAGGACAAGGACTATATGCAGAGTTCCGTTAATAATTAGCTTATATTCCTTAAATGCAGCAAAAATTACCAATAAAATCACGCTAGCGGCAATCATTACACTACTAAAAAAAATTATACAATTTAAATTTCTAGGCGGATTTCTATTCCAAATATTAAATTAATTTTACCAATACCGTACATTTAAAAATAAGAATTTTACCAAAATGGCTTCGCTGAGTCATAAATGAAATTAATACTCGCACAAGGGATCCGTGACGCAAAGTTTTTAGAACGCGGGTCACGACTCGTCTGAAAATTTTTATTTCAAAAAAATCGTTCAATTAACGAACAACTCACGTAATTTAGTGATGCAAAACTTTCAAATACAATAGTGTCCAATGTTAGAACTGCTTTTCCAAGTAACTTTCAATACTAGCTTGAACGACTCATTTGGTCATCAACGAAGTTACTGCGCAATCAAATTATTTTTAAAGTCACCATCGGACACGGGATTTTTTTCCTTGACTAAACCATGAGGTACGATTTAAATATTGTGGGCGACTGACGAACGGTGAACAAAATACACAATTTCAACTGTTAAGTATGCAAAAAAACTGAATCTTGGGAGCATACTTATGCATCACCGTAACAACTCATGAAGTGTATTATTAATCGAAGATCAGGTGGTAATATTTATCTTCTAAAAAAAGTAGGTTATGATATTTCTCACGACTGAGAAGACGAGATGTGACCGGCGCAATATTTGACACTCAAAAAACAATCTAAATTATACATCACTCGGAAAAAGTGAGGCAGAGGCGAAACAAATGAATGACGACACATCAATCATGATAGCCGATCGAGGATTACATTAGAATAGTATCCCGCCCAAGAAAATATACCTTCTCTGGAGCAGGAACGAAAGAATCAGCGTTTGAAAACGTATTTCCACATAAATTTCAAAACTCGGCAATTTAACAAAGATTATCAAAATAATAACGACCATTAAATTTCCGTGAGATGTGGAGAAAAAGACAAACATGGGGTCTTTCAATAAATTTCAACAGCAGCATAGTAATTTTCGATACAAATAAATATCTCTTACTCTTAGGAATCATTGAAATACCACTTTTTTTCTCAGAAAAATGAAGAACTTACTCTTGAAATGAGCGTTAACTGATTTCTTCCATTGAAATATGCTGACGAAAAATAATTTCATTTAGAGCAGAAATATTTCGTCAAATAAAATTATTTTTTTTCGACTTCCCGTCTTTTGATTCTGATTCGCCGTGAAAAAACATGTACTGTACTGTACTATACAGTATTTGAATAACAATTCATGAAATATCCTAGTTATTTTCGTTTGAATATACTGTACACAAGACCTGTCCTCACTCTACTAAGTACTAGCTCAGTGCTGATTGAGCAGATGAATTATACGAAGGGCTCGACGAAATTTCGCGGCCACTACAAATACAGTACATGTATTTGACGCAAAAATTTAATTTTACAAGATAAAATTATTAATCTCGCTCATATCAATATTGTTACTCGGCCCCTTGGAATCTTCTAAACCTGGTTTAAGGCTCATTATCAGCTTGTGTCTCTAAGAATCAACTTGAGATGTTGTAAATAATTATTTTTCCTGATGAAGCGTCGGTGAACAAAATTTCGAAGTACAGCAGAACCTCGATAACTCGAACATCCAGAAGTTAAAAACGTTTTTAAATAGCTTATTTTGTCATATCCCTGTCTGAATCCTTTCGAAAATAATGCAATAAACCCCCCACTCCTAAATTGAAGTATTTCTCCCTCGAAACTCGGTAACTTGAATTTTCTGTAGGCTTTTTGTATATTATTTTACTGATACAGCGAAGAGAAAAGCGATAAAAATTTAACCTGTCGTATTTGAAAGGAATTTAACAGACAAATTACGCAAATGAACCCTTGCTTCAAACTTCAGCACCCTGTCAACGCATTCAAGAAGCCCTGCGAGACCAAGACGATCAACAATTACAACTTTCTGCAATTCTTTTTCTTCTTCTTTTCTGTCAACAAAAATGCTTGTTCCCTGAGCTATAATTTTTCGCTGGTTCCTTCGACTTAAAGAGGTTCGACTGTACCGTAAGAGGGCGAGAGAACAAATTGATTCGATCAAGATTACGCTGCTCAGTGCTGTATTAATCTTAAATAAGGAAACACCAGTCAGGAATGTGCGCAGATTCCCTCGATATATAAATATACTGTACTGTATATTCCGCTCGTGGAAACGGGTTGCCAGTCAAAACGCTGTTCCCGGGATCAGATATCATGACAGATGGGCTATCACACATAACTTCACGGGGGGTAATCACGAGAGGGTCCGGGGGGGGGGGGGGGCTCAAGGGGGGGGGGGAGGATGAGGAGGAGGAGACTGAAATTTCACCAGTGGAAGCGCGGTAGTGCTTAAGCGGCGCCCGATGGGCCGGGGATTGCGTGGGCGACAGCCTGGGCGAGTTGGGCCCCGCCACCGGCGAGAAGGACTCGGGCAACTCGAGGGAGCTGGAGGCGCCGGTCCCCAGTGCCGGCGGCTCGTAGCTGGCGCCGAAAGCGATGCTCGCGCACTTCTGCAGGGAACCGGCGCCGTAGCGCGCCACGCCGGCGGCGCCCGGCATGCCGCCGCGGCTCCGGGCCCGTTTCCCGCGGCCCCCCGGGGTGCCCGGCGCGGGCAGCGGGGACCCCAACGCTTGCTGCTGTTGATGATGATGAAACTGCTGCTGCTGTTGCCACTGCTGCTCCGAGTGGCGAGAGCTGCCGTTCGGCCAGTCCGACACCTTCGTTCAAGTCAATGGGGGCGTTCAAGTGCGGGGTTCGCAAAAATGATCGGCTTTTTTCTTCATAATCATGATCTTCACCATTTCAAATACCATGTATGCAAGAGAAAAAAACGATCGCGTGCCGGAACCCGAAACAGACCCCATCGCAAGACATACGAGCGTTCTAACAAAAGCGTTCGGAATGAAAATGAAAATGGCGTCTAAAAGAGCTGAAAAAAAAATTATTCTTTAGGGCAAACATATTCTTTGGCACACAAAAAAAATCAGCCCTGTTCGACCATTTTTTTAATGTTTTGCAAAATTTACCCTGGCAGAGTTTTGTTATCCACTCAACAGATGAGGCGCCCTTCCTGCAGTTATTTTTTTTAATTTTTTTTTCCAGTCCAGTTTTCCCCTCAGATTTCTTGAAATCAATGTGGCAGTAATCTAGGGGTTGCCTCCAGGTCTTCCAAGGCAATTCCGCCATTTTCATTGACAGCCGCCAAAGTGGCCGCCACTTTCGAGCTGAAAAAAAGTGGCCGCCACTTTGGCGGCTGTCGATGAAAATGGCGGAATTGCCTTGGAAGACCTAGAGGCAACCCTTGGAATTACTGCCACATTGATTTCAAGAATTCTGAGGGGAAAACTGGACTGGAAAAAAAATTAAAAAAAATAACTGCAGGAAGGGCGCCTCATCTGTTGAGTGGATAGCAAAACTCTGCCAGGGTAAATTTTGCAAAACATAAAAAAAAATTTTCGAACAGGGCTAATTTTTTTTGTCGAAGAATATGCTTGCACTAACGAATAATTTTTTTCAGCTCTTTTAGACGCCATTTTCATTTTCATTCCGAGAACTTCTGTTAGAACCATCGTACATACTGTAATTTTCAATTTTTGCGTGAATGTTTTGTTTGTGAATTTCATCATTTTGAAGATTATGCAACTGCCGCGGGCAATGAAAAATATCCATGCCCTTGGACAAAAAAAAAGGTGCAGAATCACAAATGAACAAAGCGAAACGTCTCCCTGTTCACGGGAAATTATTTTTTCGTCTTTGTCAAATTTCACAAAAAAATAATAAAATTTTCCGAAATTCATCGGCATGAAATATTTTGACGAGTCGAGACTACGAATTCGAAAAAAGCTCATGTACGTCTCGTAGGAATTCGACACAAATTTTTTTTTTTTTTCGACATCGAATCTAAAATAGAAGGCTGTTGTCAAATCCTTCGAGTCGGACTTTTCTGACACAAGTCTTCCAATCGAGCATGTTTTGAGCAGTTTCTCTCTTTTAAAATCCTCTCCAAGCATTTCATCATTTCCTTCAGACTGCAAATTTCTCTCAGCGAATATATTCCCGTCTTTTCAAACCCCGTCAGACAATTTCCAGAATTTCATTTCGACACAGAATGACGAACATTTTCGACATTCATCAGAGAAATGAATGTTGACGGAAGCAAGGTGACATTTTAAATCAATTGCGCGTTTGTTAATATTTTTATTACCTGCACCGTATTACCGAAAAACACAGCATACTGTTTTTAAAAAAAAATGTCAGTCTTGTTTTGAACTCGTTCGAAATCAAGAATTCAGAGTTTTTCACTCGATATTTTATTAAGAATGACTGTTATTTATTTTACATAATGGACTCCAACAGATAATACCCGTAAAAGTGGCCGCCACTTTGGCGGCTGTCGATGAAAATGGCGGAATTGCCTTGGAAGACCTGGAGGCAACCCTTGGAATTACTGCCACATTGATTTCAAGAATTATGAGGGGGAAGCTGAACTGCAAAAAAAAAAAAAAAAAGAAAAAAAAAACTGCAGGAAGGGCTCATCTGTTGAGTGGATAGCAAAACTCTGCCAGGGTAAATTTTGCAAAGCATTAAAAACAAAATTGTCGAACAGGGCTGATTTTTTTTGTCGAAGAATATGTTTCCCCTAACGAGTACTTTTTTTCAGCTCTTTTAGACGCCATTTTCATTTTCATTCCGAGAACTTCTGTTAGAACCCTCGTACATACTGTAATTTTCAATTTTTGCGTGAATGTTTTGTTTGTGAATTTCATCATTTTGAAGATGATGCAACTGCCGCGGGCACTGAAAAATATCCTTGCTCTTGAACAAGAAAAAATGTGTAGAATCACAAATGAACAAAGCGAAACGTCTCCAGGTTCACGGGAAATTATTTTTTCGTCTCACTTTGTAAAATTTCACAAAAAAAAAATTAAATTTTCCGAAATTCATCGGCATGAGATATTTTGACATGGCGAAACTACGAATTCGAAAAAAGCTCATGTACATCTCGTAGGAATTCGACAAAAAAAACCATTTTCAACATCGAATCTAGAATAGAAGGCTGTTGTCAAATCCTTCGAGTCGGACTTTCTGACACAAGTCTTCCAATCGAACATGTTTTGAGCAGTTTCTCTCTTTTAAATCCTCTCCGAGCATTTCATCATTTCCTTCAGACTGCAAATTTCTCTCAGCGAATATATTCCCGTCTTTTCAAACCCCGTCAGACAATTTCCAGAATTTAATTTCGACACAGAATGAGGAACATTTTCGACATTCATCGGAGAAACGAATGTTGACGGAAGCAAGGTGACATTTTAAAGCAATTGCGCGTTTGTTAATATTGTTATTACCTGCACCGTATTACCGAAAAACAGCATACGGTATTTAAAAAAAAATGTCAGTCTTGTTTTGAACTCGTTCGAAATCAAGAATTCAGAGTTTTTCACTCGATATTTTATTAAGAATGACTGTTATTTATTTTACATAATGGACTCCAACAGATAATACCCGCATCATAAAATTTTAAGACTTTTTCAAGAAAGAATCTCAATTCGAGTTTGGGCAGCTTCTGGTTACATTCAATCACTGCGGACAATTTTTTTTTAAAGCCAAATAAAAATAGACTGAAAATGGACAAGATTATTCTAAATCGTTGAGCAGAAAGCTGTGCTGCTTTCTAGATAAAGTAACGACTCCACTTGCCCTTTATAACTCAATTCCAACGCTTACAGAAATTTTTTTTTTTACCCCAGTGACCCAGTATCTCATCACCGCTGCCATTTCCCCCCATGAAATTACCATGATGGTCTTGAATATTGCATGCATGCGAATATTTTCAAGGACACAAAGGAAATTCACGCATGAGTTCGCAGCTCCATCAAAATAAAAAATAAATAAAGCAAGCTGAAGTCTACGAAGCCCTCGATGAATACCTAACGAAGCTTATTCTGCAAGGAAAACAGTAGCAGACTAAGTTTTTCCGTAACTTGGGGGGGTTAGTATCCCGTTTTTATTCTCGAGTTCCCGCGCAATCAGGGATCAACTGACGATGACGAAGTTTTTTCGCGCGAGGCGACAACAGGACCGAATGAACGTCATTAGGTCCTAATGGTTCCGAAAAGCTTTCCAATTAAGAGAGGGTAAACGAAATCAGAGGAAAGAGTCGGGTCGGGTTCGAAGCACGCGGATTTTATTTCAGGGTCTATCCCTGTGTTGTTTACACTTGGTCCAATCAGAGGGATCACAAAATGACGAGAAGGACAAATAAAACGAACGGAAATAGCCTTTTTACGGTGTACCTTCGGGTTTCGTTCTGTGTTGCACGGGGAAAGGTTTTCATACAAACAACGTCAACTTTTTTTCCTGGATCTCGAAAAATAAGAAAATCTGAAGCTAAAAATGAATTCTTGAACGAAAATTTTGTTTAAAAAAAAGTAATCTTGACAATTCTGCTTCCTCCACATGAGAATTTTTCATAACAACGAACACTCTAAAATTACGAGTACATTTTTTGTTGCAGGGGAAAGGTTTTCACACAAACAACGTACATTTTTTTTTGGATCTCGAAAAACGAGAAAAGCTGAAGCTACAAATAAATTATTGAACAAAAATTTGTTTCAAAAAAATTAATCTTGACAATTCTGCTTCCTCCACATGAGATTGTTTAAAACAACCAACATTCTAAAATTACAAGTAAATTTTTTGTTGCAGGGGAAAGGTCTTCACACAAACAACTTTTACCTCTTATCCGGATTCCGAAAAATGAGAAAATGGGAAGCTAAAAATAAATTATTGAACAATTTTGTTTCAAAAAAATTCATCTTGACAATTCTGCTTCCTCCACACGAGATTTGTTCGAACGACAGAGATTCTAAAATTACGAGTACATTCTTCTGATCGTCTTGATGGAAAGTCTGATTAAATTTTGAATAAAATTCTTTCTGTGCACATCTACGACTTCACACTTTCATTTGCATGAAAGATAATTTCAAGTTCTTCACGTGTTTAAGAATATTACAAATATAAATCATGATAACCAATTATACTTATAAAAATTCCATTTTTGCAGTCAATTCCAAAATGCCTAAACTTTGTAATGTACTTGGCGACGGAAATTGAAGATTTCTTACTTTGGGAAATTTTTGCAGACAGTACTGTACTAGATTTTGCGATTCAAACTTTCATTGTGAGGAAAACTGCAGGAAAATCGAATAAATAGGCTGTTTTATAAATTTGAAGGAAACTTCAAAAAATCTGAAGAATTGAATATTGCGAGCATAATTTGTAATATGACAAGAGACCAGTTTTGAAAAATTGCATGTTTACGGCTGTGCGAGGGGTCTTTCGAGAATAATCTCTGCGGTAAATTTAATCGCCATTCGGCGTTTTGTCTTGTTGTGACGTTGTCTTGTAGGATCTAACTGCAGTACTCGTTTGATAAAAAGTAAAGAGAGGTTCCTTTGCCTAAGCCAAGTTTTTAGAAGAACGATTCCTTTACCTACCCTTCACTGCTGAACCATAAAGCTTTCCATCATCAACGAACGTCACTTCCTCAAAACTTCCA